TTATGAAAGAATTCCTTGTCGCTTCCAAGTATAATACTAATATCTCTTTATAATATCATAACAAAAATAACTCTAGAAACCTTTTTTTCTAATTTAATATTCAAAAATGGTTAGTCAAGTTTGTAACCTTGAATGTTTTAATATTTATGGAAATTGTCAATAGTTAGTATAGATAGTTAATTTTTTGTTACAATATAGGTATCAAAAATATATTTTTTATTATTGAAAATATACACTGATACATTGATTAACAACAACAGAGGTTGTTTTTTAAAGAAAAAAATGTAAAATTATATTTTTTTATGGGTGCGAAATCTTCATCTACTCTTCTTGAAGAATTAATGGTATTTTGTTGGTTAAGTAAGTTTATATAAAGATCTCCTGAGTTTTTCTCAGTGGATCTACAGTTATTAATAACAAATTTAATAACACTGTATTTTTAATAGTTTAAATAAGTAATAAACATAATTTTGGTTATATACCGGGAGCGTCTCAAAAGTGGCTCGCCCCCTATAACTTTTTTATTTTTTCAGATAAAAAAAACGAGACTTGGTATGTTAGTATATGACATAAATTAGGGTTGATTGACGTATTCAATTGTTTTTGGTCGCTTCCTGTTTCACCGGAAATGACTACGACTTTTGATTTTTAAATGGCACCCTCGGTATATATTTACTTTATTCGATAGAAAATGACACTCTGAATAAAATGACATATCATATGTCAACTTTTGACATTCTCGCTTAAAACAAAATTAAATTTTAAAATTCAATCTAGAGTGCCATGGTTATGTTAAAAACACTAATTCTTAATTATGGAGCCTTGAAAAAATAGATTTGATTGTGTAATGTTTTTAGTGTCTTGTCTTGGCCAGTTAGAAAATGTTAAAATCGTATTTTTAATCATATCTCAATTTTTTCAAATGGAACGAGGGTGGCTAATTAACATATTTGGAAAAAGCATTTTTTTACGAATAATTTGGTACCACACACTTGGTATTTCAAAGAGTCAAAAAAAAATTTTCGTTACGAACCTCAAGTTATAATTTCAAATAAACCAAATACGAAAATGTCAAAAGTTGACATATGATATGTCATTCTATTCAGAATTTTATTTTCTATCGAATAAAGTAAAAAAGTACCGAGAGTGCCATTTAAAAATCAAAAGTTGTAGTCATTTCCGGTGAAAGAGGAAGTGACCGAAAACAATTGAATACGTCAATCAATCCTAATTTATGTCATATACTAACATACCAAATCTCGTTTTTTTAACTGTAAAAATAAAAAAGTTATAGGGGTGAGCCACTTTTGAGACGCACCCGGTATTATAAATAATCTGAGCATTATAATGGTATTTCAGAAATTATAAATAGCAGACTAGAAGTTCCTTAAAGATTAATACATATTTTAGAATACGAGTTTATTATATCTCTTTAAGGAGCTGTTATAATATATTGTAATAGCTTAACATAATGCAGTTAAAAAAATAAAATACTTCATTATATGTATAAAAGTAATATTCTAAAAAAATGGTAATCATATACTAAAAAATTATGAAAAAATGTTCCTACTTAAAATACTAGCAATTTTAAAAAGCTTTACCACTATTTCAAACATTTTTAATACTTTTGGCCTAAATGCAATAGTAAAAAATAAATATATAAACTCCAAGGAGTTTAAAGCACTAATAGTTATATCACCCAGTTATTAAATTATATTCCTTTAAACTCGAATGCACATTTCAAACTTATTATTGTGTCATGCTCAATGTAGGTTAACGATTATAAATCATCAGGTGAACCACATTAGACAGCTAGCTGTATGAAAAATTATTATTATATACATAAGTGTATTCACATGCCATGCATGCTATTAACTGGAAATAGGTCGAATCGCATTATCATTAGATGACCTAAATCTATCAGAATTTTTTTATTTAAAAAATATCTACAGGTAAAAATGTATATATGCAACGAAATATTTATTCCCCGCTCTGTAATATGTATAGTTTTATCATTTATTGAAAATAAAAATACGCTAATTTATCTGATTTATAAGTGATATTTTTTTAAGTTAAAATCGAAATTTGGTATGTTAGTATATGACATAAATTAGAACTGATTGACGTATTCATTTGTTTTCGGTCACTTTCTGTTTCACCGAAAATGACTGCAACTTCTGATTTTTAAATGGCACTCTCGGTATTTTTTTACTTTATTCGATAGAAAATGAGGGTGCATCCATACCATCCTAGAAAAAGAGGAACGGCGCGGCGTATCGGCGTAACGACCTTGAATAGATTTCAAACAATTCTATTGGCTGAAATTTTTGACAGATGAATTTTCGAAAAATTTCAGCCAATAGAATTGCTGGAAATCGATCCAAGTACGCTGATACACCGTTCCGCTTTTTCTAGGATGATGTGGATGCACCCTGACACTCTGAATAGAATGACATATCATATGTCAATTTTTGACATTCTTACTTTAAAAAATCGTACTACAAATTTAAATCTAGAGTGCCATCATTGTGTTAAGAAACACTAATTCTTAATCAAGGCGCCTTGGAAAAATAGATTCGATCGGCTAATGTATTTCGTATTTTGTCCTGGCCGGTTAGAAGATGACCAAGTCGTATTTTTAATCATATCCCAATTTTTTCAAATGGAACGAGGGTGGCTCATTAGCATATTTGGACAAATCATTTTTTAGTAATAATTTGGTAGCACACACTTGGTATTTCGAGTCAAACTATCTTTACATTTATAGCCATGGCAAGCTATTTTTATTAACTGAAAATGGCAAAAGTTGACATATGATATGTCATTCTATTAAGAATGTCACTTCGGCTTCCTATCAAACGAAGTAAAAAAATCAGAGCGTATCTTTTAAAAATAAAAAGTTGTAGCCTTTTCCGGGAAACAGTAAGTGATCGACATTTGGATACGTCAGTCAATCCTAATTTATGTAATATACTCAAAATCAAAACTCGTTTTATAATCTAAAAAAATAAAAAAGTTATAGAGGTGAGCTACTTTTTAGAAACACCCGGTATACTCTAATACATATGTATTTAATCAAGTCATAAAATAAAATTAAGAACATGTTCATATTACTCTACTTCATTTATCAGTTCATTATTTTTAATATATTACGCGTATACAGGGTCCGGCAATAGTGCGTCGGGCATCTGTAGCTCCTAGAATAAAAAACTTGACAATTTTGTTTAAGTGCAGACCTAAAGTATGTACCAGGATGTATTTCCGGAAAATATTTTAACTTCTATAGGGTGGCTCAAAAAAGTGTGAGTGGATCTGGATGTTTTTTTTTAATGGAACACCCTGTATGTTATTGCATTTTTGACTTCCTTTCAGATCATTTTACATAATCCTAAGATATGAGTAAATCTATTTCGATAGTTTCGAGAGATATCGTTTTTTAGAGATATTAAAAAATAAATCAAAAATATATATTTTTCAACCCTCCTAAAAAAAATATTAAAAATACAAGAACTGCTCTGAAATCAAAACTATATTAGATATTTACTTTAGATGGTCTGTTCTTACTTTGCTATAAATATGGTAATCGTAAATCATACAGGATGTTCAATATTTTACGCCAAACTTTCAAAAATGTAAAATAATTTTTCTTGTTTTTTTTTTAAATGGAACACCCGGTATATTATTTTTTTATTTTTTTTATTTGATGGAGAATTAAAAAATAAACATTTTTTGTATTTAAAGTATTTCAAAATTTTTAATGGTTTTCCGGATACATGCAGTATTATTTCATATGGCATTCAATGATAAAATACGAGAGAAAAATCATTGGGTGGCTTTGATAAAAATTTACTGTGGAAAATGCTATATGAAATACAAAACCGAGAATATCTGCGAAACCGTTAAAAATTTTGAAACATTCTAAATGCAAAAAATGTTCATTTTTTAATTCTCCATCTTGAGAAAAATATTATACAGGGTGTCCCATCTGAAAAAAAAACAAAGAAAAATTCTTTTTTATTTTAGAAAGTTTGGCGTAGAATTTTGAACATCCTATATGATTTACGATTTCCATATTTATAGCAAAGTAAGTACAGACCACTGGCAATTGCCCAGTAGCAAAGCCAAACCCGAGACAAGACAAGTACAGACCATCTAAAGTGAATATCTAATATAGTTTTGATTTCAGGACAGTTCTTGTATTATTAATAATTTTTTAAGAAAGGCTAAAAATATAATTTGTATTTATTTATTAATATCTCTGAAATTATCGAAATATATTTACTCTTGTCTTAGGATTATATAAAGTGATCTGAAAGGAAGCCAAAAATGCAATAATATACAGGGTGTTCCATTTAAAAAAATCATCCCGATCAACTCACACTTTTTTGAGCCACCCTATAGAAGTTAAAATATTTTCCTGAAATACATCCTAGTATATACTTTAGGTTTGCACTTAAACAAAATTCCCAAGTTTTTTTATTCTAGGAGCTACAGATGCCCGGCGCACTATTGCCGGACCCTGTATAATGTTTACTTAAATTTTGCGGAAAGTAAACTTTATGCTAATAATAATTTATTTTATTACAGTTGAGGGTTGGAACCTTTGGTGTTACACAGCAAAATAAAAACACTAAATCACCACAATACACCAAAACACTTTTACTTTTACACTGGACGCGCGTTTCGCTAACCATGTTAGCATCATCAGTAGATGATTATAAACTAATAATATTATTATAATATTACTAATGATAATAATCATCTGCTGATGATGATAACATGGTTAACGAAATGCGCGTCCAGTGTAAAAGTAAAAGTGTTTTGGTGTATTGTGGTGATTTAGTATTTTTATTTTGCAATAATTTATTTATTAAAAAAGCTTCAATAAACAATTAATAGAATAAAATAACGAAATGATACAGGCTATTTTTTAAATAAGTCAATAAACACTTTTTTTTAAATTGATCTACTTCCAGTCAGTTAATTATTCATTAACTTACTTGAGCATTCGATATTCCAGTTGCCGATCAATTTATCGATAAAATAAATATCCCAGTTGCATTTAGACCGTTTAACATCGACCACTATAGAAACAGAACAAGTGTCCGACACTTTCTACAACTGCGGTCTCCGCAATACTGGCCACTACTGACCAATGGTCGACGAATTGACCCTCAGTTAGAAACATTCGTATATTCGATATCGAGACGCATACCACAGGCGTCTAAATCAATTCCAATAGAAAATAGAAAAGGATATAATAATTCGTAGGACACGTAATTTTATTTAAGGGTTAAATTCGAACGGCCTTATAAAATGGAAATATTTTGAATATTAACAGAATGAATCAATAAAATGCAATTAGAATAATATCTATAATTGAAAAATATAATATATAAATACATATAGTATTAAGTCTTATAATATTAATTTTAGGATATATCTATACCGGGTGCGTCTCAAAAGTGTCTCACCTTTGTGGCAACTTTTTTTATTTTTTGAGATAAAAAACGAGATTTGGTATGTTAGTTTTTAGTGATGGGCATTACGATTCTTTTTAGCGAATCGAACCACACGATTTAATTTCTCCATATTTCAATCGACACCTACGATTCGTTCATTTGAACGAACCACATGCACAATTTACGTTTCATAAAAACAAGATCATAACTGGCACTACTGGCGATAATTTGGTAGGACAATTACTTAAGGGACCAGAAAAAGAAATATGGGTACAGTTCTTTCATTAGTTTTCAACACTTTGTTTGACACTGGCGTAATTGGATTGATTATTTTACCAATATAATATTAAGTTATCAATCCAATTTATATATACTATTTATTAAAGACTTCTTAATACCAATTTAATATTTTAGAACCATATTTTAATTCCGATTTTTTAATAATCATAATAAATATATAGTAGGTATATAATACCACATGATCGACAAAAAAATGGCGTCCAGTTGGCTTGGAAATGAACATGATGAACATCAATGATATTCTCCATATAATTTTACATATAAAATGACCGCGATCTTCATTTTATAACCATCGCTGACGCCGTTATTTTATCACATTGAGCAGAGGCCAACAATATTTATTTGGAGTTGCATAAAAACACGATTTCGTCTCTTAGTCCGACATTTAATAGTCGGTAATATTATTTTAACAAAAATATTAATGTGAAAATTAAATACCTTACAGATACTCCCGTAGGTACTATCGTACTAAGCACAGTATAAATTTTTTTTTTCTTGTAAATAACTTTCTTATCGTTTGCATTTTATGCCCATGATGTTTGTTTAGGGCTTTTGTTCAAGTCTAAATATTAGTGCCTGCATTTATGCCTATATCACCAATATATAGGCGCCGCGCCGTAGAAACAAACGATCGCATTTTGTGATCCGATTCAATTCTCACGATTCTTTTTTACGGCTCATCGTTCAAATGTTATAGATCGGTGCTGGCCACGATTCAATGAATCGAATCTCACGATTCGTTTTTAATACTCGTTCAATCTTTGCCCACCTCTATTAGTTTATCATACCAAATCAGACCAAATGACATATTCAATACCAAAGTTCAATACCATGATTTAGGATTGATTGACGTCAGTTGACGTATTCAATTATTTTCGGTCACTTCCTGTTTCACCGGAAACGACTTGGGAAATGACTACTGGTGGGTTCATACAGCCAAATAAAATAAAATAAGAATAAAATCAAATGAGAATGGAGAAAGTGAATTTTTAAAGACATTCGGGCACCAAGCGATTTATAAGCATCTAAAAGCTCATTAACCAATTGTTCGTGAAGTTCGCATCCTTATTGTTTCCCAAAAATCCCCCCTCACTACACTAACAAATGAGGTCCATGCTCTGAGTTCCTGCCAGTGGTAAGCGTGTTCAGAAATTTGTGTCGTCCAACAATTTCCTGATTTGTGGTCCAATAAAATAAGAAGTCTTTATCTTTTAACTTCTTGTTTTATTTTATGTGAAAGACGGCTTTGCGCACGCTTAATTCATAACCTACAAATATTTTCAGTTTGGATTTAATTTATTTTTTTAATTTCACATAAGTATGAATGTATAATATAGTAGGCAACGAATAAATAAATATACTATAAATAGTAAAATTACATATAAACAACCCGGTTGAAGTTAACTTTTATCCAGCCTCATCGTTCTGCGTATGAGCAAATATATATTTCTTATTTTATTTTATTTGCCTGTATGAACGCACACAAATAAAATTCCTTATTTCTTATTTTATTTTATTCTTATTTTATTTTATTTGGCTGTATGAACCCACCATACAACTTTTTGATTTTTAAATGACACCATTGGTTTTTTTTGCTTCATTTGATAGAAAATCACATTTTCAATTAAAAAAAAGGTAATGGTGTGCTGCCATTTTATACCTGTTGTAGTTGATTCTATCCGGTGGCTGACCTTGATTTTCATAGTTTGCTGCATTTGATCATCGATACTACGCAAGCGCACATCGTCGAGGGTGCCAAATTGCCGTTTATTTTCGAATTATTTGCAGTTAAAATCTTTTTCGAGTGTTAATCAATAATAATACAAATTCTATAATTAATTTTATAATTTCAGATTAAGCCATTGATATCAAAATTAAGGTAAGAAGAATATGAATCCTGAATTGAAGGGATAATGAAGATTGTGAAATGAAAGTATTATGAATATATAAAAGTTGTAATAATGATAACATTTATTATATATATTTACATTAGAATTAAAAATTATCATTTACGGATTTTTTTTTTTAATGGTTTTAAACTTATTAGAATTATTTAATTTCTAGTTATTTACAGGCAACAATAGTTTTGATTATATATATTGATGTATTGAAGTACTACCATGACGAGTCTTATAGAACAATATACACGTCAATGAGATAGAGGTAACATTTTACCTATATAATATAATATATTTTGATTATAATGTTTGTATCATAATTTCTTAAAAATATAGTGGATTAATAGCAATTTTTAGACATATATTTTATCGAAGAGTGTGTTGATAAGACTAAAATAAGCTGAATAAGCTTTATGTTTTATCTTTTTCTCTTTAGAAGGGAGATGGTTTGTGTCGTAGAATACATTACAGTATTTAATATCGTGTACTTTGATATTCTTTTCTTAAAATAATGTAATTTCTTGTTTCCTATAATGCCAAATCTTGACAATATGGTGAAGGTTGAGTTTTGATCTTGAATTAGTTTTGTCCTTTTATCAAAGATAATTCTACTACTTGTGTTAACTATAATATTCTTTGGTTTTATACCTATGTTTATACAAGACCAAATTAAGACTTAGTTAGTTTGTGATTTATATTAAGACATTTTCTTATAATATTTGTTATGTCTTAATCTTAATACTATATTATGCTTTTGTCTGGAAAATAAATGTTAAAAATATCTTACTTTTTTATCCTATTCCATATCCTTCCATTAGAAAAAATATGGTTTTATAAATCATATATGCTAAGAAAATCACATAAATTACTTGTAAGGTAAGAATAGAGAAATCATAAGGTAGCAGAAAAATAAATCTACCTAGAATTAAACAAGGTAACTGTTAATTAATGTTGCTGAAGCTGATTGTACATTTTTAATTACGGAGGCTGAAAAGGTCGTTTAGGGAGCCTCCGTAGTTTTGATGTAATGTTATTAAAAACCTATTATGAACATGACATGGAGCTACAGCATTTAAAAAATTAAAAAAAAAACTTGGACACGTCCCTTTTATATTTGCCTGAATTTTTAATAAAACACCAATACGTAGCATAATTATCTAGAGCAATTAGATTAATTATGGGAATCTAGAGTTTTATTTCTATATCTTTTTTATTGACTATGAAAATACATATGTAAGCGTTCACGTGTTGTGCGAAATATTAAAATAATATACCGCGTACTTTGATTGAAAAAAAAATAGCGTCATGACTATGAAATGAAGATCGCTGTCATTTTATGGAAATGTCCTCAATCGTCATTTCCCAATCAACTGGACGACATTTTCGATCATACGGTATATATTGACAAATTTAGGATTGATTGACATCATTTGTTTTCTACTGAAAATAATTCCAAAATAACTCGCAACTGGAAACATCGAAGATGTGCGCAACGTTTTGATTTTTATATGCAGCAAAAACTTTTTTTTTGCTTCATTTGATAGAAAATCACATTTTCAATTAAAAAAAAATAGCATATTAAATTTTAATTTAGAGTGCCATCCATGGCAATAAATGTAAAATGACAATACGGCAATAATTTCAGACACAGGACACAACCCTAGCAGCAGTCAGCAGCAGTACTCTTTTTGACACTTCTCTGCACTCTTGTTATTATTATATTAATTGTATGTTATTATTATATTAATTAGTATAATAAATTTAATCTTAAGATATTAACCAGTTCGTTTTAAAAATATTCTACCAGATTCATATTTGACATAAAACATATGTTTACCGCTGGGTAACGGTAAATACCGAAGGTATAATTTTCGTAAACGCCTATAGTCTGTGGTTGTCCTCGAACATATTTTGTTTTAAAAATAAGCAAATATTTTGCTATAATATGAATAATATAAATAATATTATTAAGATTTAGTATTTGCCACAATAAAATATTGTCTGGTGAGTTTGTACAGGCATTTTTTATATTTTATAACTTTTGTTTAGATTTCACATTCAATAAAATAATTTCTATTTTTTTTGTCTAGATTAAACAATTATGGCTTTGAAAAAAGTAAGAGGAAATATTGAACGTATGTTCGACAAGAATTTAACTGATTTAGTGAGGGGTATAAGGAATAATAAAGAAAATGAGGTAAATGCTTAATATAAAAACAAAACAATACTAAGTATGTATTTTACAAACAAACACAAACCAAGAAAGTAAAATAATCGACCCATTTAATTTAGTTTTAATGTAGTTGTGTTCGTTGTTTTCATATACCTAATTCATACTTTACTAATGCATAATTGTATACTCACTTTAGGCAAAATATATTTCCCAATGTATGGAAGATATCAAACAGGAACTTAGGCAAGACAATTTAGCTGTAAAGAGTAATGCTGTAGCTAAACTTACATATGTAAGATAATATGGAAAATACTATGCCAAGTCTATATTGTTTTATTCCTGTTACAGCTCCAAATGCTTGGCTATGATATTTCCTGGGCAGGATTCAATATAATTGAAGTAATGAGTTCAAGTAAATTTACATTAAAAAGAATTGGTTATTTAGCAGCAAGTCAGTCATTTCATTGTGACTCAGAGGCAAGTGATCTTAATTTAATTTACCACAGGGTTTAAATGGACATATATGAATATAAATATTTTAGTTACTTATGCTAACTACAAACATGATCCGGAAAGAATTGAATTCACAAAATCAATACGAAGCTGGTCTCGCTCTAACTTCCCTTAGTTGTTATATAAGTACTGATTTGGCAAGAGATTTGTCCAATGATATTTTAACTTTGGTAAGGGATCTTCTCTTATAAAGTATTTTAAATTTATTAAATGCCATTATTCTTAATTCAGTTAAATTCTACAAAACCATACATAAGAAAGAAAGCAGTTTTGATGATGTACAAAGTATTCCTGAAATATCCAGAAGCTTTAAGGCCCTCTTTTCCCCGATTAAAAGAAAAACTGGAAGATCCCGATCCAGGTTTTTATTACATCAAAACGTAAAACATTATAATATATTATTTTTATATAGGTGTTCAGTCGGCAGCTGTAAATGTTGTATGCGAATTGGCCAGAAAGAATCCTAAAAATTATTTGAGTTTAGCTCCTGTGTTTTTTAAACTGATGACCACTAGTACAAATAATTGGATGTTAATTAAAATCATCAAGCTAGTAAGTTCAAGCATTTATTTATTTAACTTTGATAATGCAATATTAAGTAAAGTTTGGTATTTTTACACACATTGAACCTTTAATTGGAAGAAAACTTGCCTCTTCGTTGATTGACATTATTACAAGGTATTAAAAAAAACAATGTAGGCGTTTTTTATTAAGCTAGCATCTATATACCTACATTATGAGATTTCTTTAATTTAATCATTAGTTGGTTAATATTGAGAATAATTATATATATACCAGGTGCGTCTCGAAAGTGGCTCACTCCTATAACATTTTTATTTTTTCAGATGATAAGAAAATAAGATTTGGTATGTTAGTATATGATAATGTACGGTTGCAGACCCCATCTCTTTCCAAATAGTTTTTTACATGCATAGAATGCATTTATTCCCTTTATCATCCTTTCCTCCGTGTTCCTTTTCCAGGAAAGCTTCGAGTCCAGAATGATTCCTAAATATTTTGTCTCCTTAGCAAGTACAAGTGTCTTCCCTTCCAGCTTTGGTAGCGACATATCATAAATGTCAACTTTTGACATTTTTGCTCAGAAAAAATCGTATTTTAAATTTCAATCTAGAGTGCCATGGCTGTGTTAAAAACACTAATTTTTAATCAAGAAGCTTTAGAAAAATAGATTTCATCATCTAACGTTTTTCGTGTCTTGCCCCGGTCAGTTAAAAGATGCCCAAATTGTATTTTTAATTATATCTCAAATGGAACAAGAGTAGCTCATTAGCATATTTGGAAAAAGCATTTTTTATGAATAATTTGGTACCACACACTTGGTTTTTCGAGTCAAATTGCTATGAACCGCATGTTACAATTTCGGTTTATACAATATATGTATATGCCCTGTTATATATGTATATTCTTAAAGTTGTTCAACCGACTAGACAAAATGTACTGCCAACTGGAGGACAAATCGTGAACCTTTCGGGGCGGAGTCAAAAATATCGATTATTTTCGTTATTTTCCTCAGAGTAATGTAATAATATAGCCCCGGGTTTCTGCGAACTTTAATAGTGACCAGCTGATTAAGAAATTTAAACGAAACTTTTATTTTATTGTGAATTGTGGATTATTTTTGCCTGTTATTTTAAGAATTCTAAACCGTATTAACAAAGAAATTATTATTTCGATATGTTGGTACATTATTTATAATAATTTATGATAATGCTAATTGCTGTTAATTAATATTTTAAAAAAGTTACATACCTATTTTAATTTGATTTAATGCAGGTTTATAAAAGATTCATTTCATTCTTAGATTATTTTATTCTAAATTGAGTGCTTTACGAATTTTACGATATTTTTTTGAAAACATAAAACTTTTTACATTTTTGATGCCAACTAATTGGCATGGTATTATTGGTATGGAAATTAGCCAAGAAAGAAAAGTATTGGCTATAACTTGTAATTTTTCGAAAAAAACATATGTATTATACCTATATCGCTGAAAAGCTTAAAAAATGGCGCTTTTTATGAAGTCATGGCCAACTATGGTTTCCATTTAAAAAAAACATAATGTTTGTGTCATATGTCAAAAATGACAGGCTTTAGAAAAAAAAACAGTAAACACAAACTCATATTAGGTATGTGATTATCTACAACTTTTATCTGAAAACTTTTTGTCTAAAATACCGTATGATCGAATAAAAACGGCGTCAGCGATGGCTATTAAGTGACGATCGATGATATTTCCCATATAGTTTTACATATAAAATGACAGCGATCTTCATTTCAAAGCCATCGTTGACGCCGTTTTTATTCGATCATACGGTAGATTATAATGGAATTAGAGACAAGTTTTAAAATAGCCAAAATCTGTTTTTTTTTTCGAAATATCTAGTAAGCTTTGAACTTCTCCGAAAATCCGAAAAGCGCATATTTATGACCCCACAAAACTGCAATTCTTTCCCCATTTAACCGACTCTCTATCTCCAGTAGTTTCCGAGATACCCATAGAGAACATCATAGGAAACTCACCCTGTATAGTATTTAGAAACTAACTATTATTATTATTTGACTAGATTAATTTGATTAATAAGTCTCGATTAATTTAATTTAAAATAAATTTGATCAGATTTTTTTCGTATATTCTACCAGAAAACCAAAATTATATGATATCACAATACTTAATAGAATTACTACAATTAGAAGAAAAACAAAAAGAAAAAATACCCAAATACCTTCACCTACTACTCATCTACAAAATAAACTAATAAGGTTTGTTCCATCAAGAAATACAAGACTAGTTAGAGACAGGTAATGGACAAATTGTAATCTGTCAAAAGTGCGCATGCGTTAACATTGACTAGTTTCGGATCAATAAATTTTTTGTGATGAAACAAATGACTATGCGCGAAATTTGACAAGTAAATATAACCTACTTTTTAACGTGCTTGCTGTTGTAGTGCTGGCCTAAAATCAACGTTTGTTTTTGTTAGTAAACCGAAGAATATTGTTGTGTTAAAAGATTTGCTATGGAATCTAATAATTATAGTAAGTGATTTTACCAAATTCGCTCTAACTAGGTTCTCTTTATATCAGTGTTTTAATAGGTTTGAACGAATTTATTTTAATAAATGTACCACCTACCGAGCCGCCTACATTGCCTGAAGAACAGGCAACAACTGCCCAAGAACAAATAATACTAAGGGAAGAAAGTAATAATTGTAACTGGACCACTAATAAGACTAAAATTTTCATTGAATTATACCAAAAGTATAGAAAGAAAGTGGGAACAATAGAAATCAGAACACAAGATAAATTATTTTCAGTTATTGCTACTGAATTAAATAAAATATTAAACACTAGTTTTAGTGCCAATCATTGCAAGAATAAGTGGCGTGTTTTGGAACGGGCGTAAAAAAAATATAATGAAGACAAAAACAAAACAGGTCGCGGTAGAAAATTCTTTGAATTTAGTGACGAAATGGACAAAATATTTGAAAAGAAAAGAAATGTCAGTCCACTTATTCTGCTAGATTCAAACAGTAGGACACCTCTTGAAGAAGTAAAAAACATTTTATCTGCAGATAAAGGTGATAATACACCATACCGATTAGATGATACAGCTGCTTCATCAGTAACCTGTGACGAAAGAAAAAAACAGAAATCAACAATAATTAATCGTAATAAAATACTGGACAAAATAAGGGAACAGAAAGAACACTATTACAAAGAACGAATACAAATTGAAAGGGAAAAAATGGAAATCCAAAAACAAAAATTGGCAGAAATTTTAGAAAGAAATCAGTTGTTAAAGCAACAAATGGAGTTCCACAGTGGTAAAAAATAATTATAATTTGTTATTTAATATTATATATGTTATTTAATGTTTTATGTCGTTTATTTTTATAGATACTAAAATAATAGAATTATATTAATTCAGTATAGAGTTAGTTTGATTGTAAAATAACACTCTGGGGATTACTAAACATTTATTAAATTGACTTAATACCTTATTAAATATGTATTACCTTAACATTTACTATTAAAAAATTATACATAATTAGAGTACTAGTTAAACTCGTAATCTACAAAATAGACATTTTATCGAGTAGTCTCATATTATAGATTTACCTTATATTTAAAATATTTACAATATCATTTCGTGTTTGGACACCATTTCTATCATCAGGTATGTCATCAGGATCCTCATCATTATTATCCCAAAGGTCACCCCAAACAAATTCATTCTGGTGTTCAATATCATTTTGATTCAAAGGCACATCATCTTTCAGTGCTAAGTTATGCAAAACACAACAGGCTCGAATAAAATGAACTATATCACGTACATTTCTAAGTTTAACATGATACAACTGCCTATACTTCTGCTTAAGCAGCCCAAAGCAGTGTTCAATTATATATCTGTTAGTAGCCAAAGCAACATTGTAGTTAGTCTGAGCTCTTGACAATTGTCCACGATCCCTAAATTGTGTTAGTAAATTGGTTAAAAGAGGATATCCACTATCTCCCAATAGATGAAAGTTGACACATTTTTGTTGTAGTGTGGCACATAATGGTGAATTTCGGAACACGCGGCTATCATGTACAGACCCTGGAAATCCAACATAGATATCCCGAATTAGTAAGTTGTGGTCACAGACTGCCTGAATCTTAAAAATACTAACTTAGCCTGGTAAAAATAAAATATTAGAGGTTTTCTTACCTGAATGGAATAAAAAAATTTTCTATTCATGTATGAATCTGGGTCATCTGAGGTTTATCAATCTTTATATGCGATCCATCTATAGCTCCAATTACTCCAGGAAATCCCTTCCTATTAAAATGAGCTGCAATGTCCTCTTTTTCTAGTTGGGTTGGCCACGTTATCACTTCCGGAGAAAGATTGCTCAAAAAATATCTCGTCTAATAATACGAAATATTGTGCTTATTGTCACATCAAAACGATCCCCTACATCTCGATAACTTAATGTCCAGCAAACCAAAGAAATATGTAAATAACATCCTGAGCGCTCAATTTTCCGTAACAGCCTGAACGATTTGTTGAGTAATAAATACTATTTGCAAATTTATCAGCTATAAACATTGCGACATGTCGGCTTACTCGAAAGTGCTCTAGAAATAGCTCATTGCTGTATTGTGGGACAGTTTGATCTAAATAATCTGCGTTCTTAGGGCGAAGATCAATGTCTAATAATAATTCTAAATTTTCATCATCATCACTAGAATCACTAGCTTCACTCTCTGAAGATATGTCAAAAATTTCATCATCAAAAAGAACATTGTCATCCATTTCTAAAAAAAATAGCTTAAGACTTAAATCGACGCTACAAAGAAATAATTCAATTCTTACTACTGATTTCTGGGTAATTTCACAAAAATATACAGAAATTATATGAAAAAAAATGGTTCACAAATTAGTTCTGTTATCTGTGGTTCACAACGAAAATATATTTTGATTCTAATGTTAACAGCTGTTAAAACGCAGAGTGCGCAGCCGCATTACAATTAGTTTCTGCAGTAGTCCAGTAACACTTTTGACAGTTCCGAAACTGGTTCGGCATCGTGATGGAACAGAGAACAACAATCATTAATCTGTCAGTTTTTTTGTCCGCAAAGTTGATGGAACAGAAAATTTTTAGTGCGCATGCTCGAGATATCCGCGAACTGTCGGCGACCGCTGATGGAACAAACCTATAATCTCTTATAAAAACACTACACAACTACTTCTTGTATTCTACACTGAAAAAATTATAAAACTTACTAATTAATCAAACAAAAAGATAAAATAACCAAATTATCCCTTTACCTACTACTTAACTACAAAATAATAAACTATAAAAACACTACTAAACTATTTCTGGTATTCTACACTAAACATTATAATTAAACTTAATAAAATTAATCTAATTTTACACTACAACCACTACAACTACAAAGTAATAAGAACATTTTTTAAAACTAGAAGAAACAGAACTTCGATACATGCAACCAGTATAATAGATCAAGCGGACAAAGAATATAAAATACTTTAAAAATGTGCATTCAGAAAGAAAAAATATCTCGAAAATTATCTAAACAAACATTTTTTTTCTTATCAGTGAAAAGCATCGGCCTCGTCGGCCTTGCGTGATTTGTCGGGTATTTACAATGGTCGAATTGTATAATTACCAGCTTTTATAGCATATCTAATAGATAAAAAGTATTTGGTCGATTAGTAACCAATTGGCACAGTCCGAAAATTATCGATTTTTATTTTCTCTGTTTTTATTGGTCGCTTCAAAATTCAGAGCAACAAAAAATATTTTTCTGTAGTAAAAGACCGTGAAATACGCCCCGCCATCTGGTGCTTTACATCTATAAACGTCTTAGGTTGAGCTACTTTAAAAATTCATATACAAGGATATTGCTGTTCTAATCATGCTTTATCTCCATTATTTATAGTTTGGTGCTCTTACTCCCTTAGAACCTAGGCTAGGTAAAAAATTGATTGAGCCTTTAACAAATCTCATTCATAGGTAGGTAAGATAATACATAATTACCTCTGTTATCTTTAACTATATTTTCATCAGAATACGAGAGTATTAAAGTATTCTGGTATTAAAATTTAATACATATATACCGATTTGGTCATTTTAGAAGTGTGGTCGGGATTTTAACGCGTAAGACAGTGATGTAGGCAGCTTAATGGAAAATCAAATGTATTAAAAAGAGATAAAAGTTGGGTTAATACATTTCTTCTATGCGGTATTGCCGGATTTTGCATCAAAAGTTCAAACCGCACAAGTAGGCGTTTATGGAAAATTTAACATCTATTGTTGGAACCTTATTTTTCACAATTAGTTACTTCATTTTACTACAGATGTAATAGATTATATTTAGCTTAGATATATTATCTTCATTTCAGTCAGATACATGAAAGTTTTTAAAATACCTAGTTTTTTTCCTACAAACTTCAACTTCAACACAAACTTTCCTATAAACTTAAAAATCGGCAACACTGTATGCATCTTTTAATTTTGTCTCTCTGTCTGTCAACTGGTCATTTATGTTACTCTCTGTCTGACACGTTAAATCCAGACCACACTTCTAAAACCAAATCGGTATGTTTAAGTTACCCTAGTTGCATAATAATAATTATAAGCTCAATGGTATAAATTAATATAAATTATAATCCAACTTTTAGTACGTCAGCAATGAGCCTACTTTATGAGTGTATAAACACTGTTATAGCAGTGTTAATTAGCATTTCTTCTGGAATGCCAAACCATGCAGCGAGTATTCAACTTTGTGTACAAAAACTAAGAATACTCATTGAAGATTCAGATCAAAATTGTAAGTTAGCGACTTTTAATATTTTTGAGTTTTTGTATCAAGTATTTTATTTTAGTAAAATATCTAGGACTATTAGCAATGTCAAAAATATTAAAAACACATCCAAAAAGTGTGCAAGCACACAAAGATTTGATTTTACAATGTTTAGAAGATAAAGATGAATCAATAAGGCTAAGAGCTCTTGATCTATTATATGGAATGGTATGAATTTCAGCTCATACTTGACAAATGTTTAACAATTAAGTATTATTTATTTTTAAGGTTTCTAAAAAGAACCTTATGGAAATAGTTAAAAAACTTATGATTCATATGGATAAAGCAGAAGGAACTGTATATAGGGATGAGTTACTTAGCAAAATAATTCTTATTTGTTCTCAGAATAATTACCAATTTATTACTAATTTTGAATGGTATATCACAGTTTTAGTTGAATTGGCACAAATGGAATTTGGATCAAAACAAGGTAAAGAAATTAATTTAATAGTAAAGTTATTTATTAATTTGATTTTTTAAATTTATTAGGTCATGTAATTGGTTCACAACTAATGGATGTTTGTATAAGAGTACAAGCTATAAGAGCCTTTGCAGTAGCTGAGATGGCTCAGTTACTTGACGTTTACACATCTACTTCACAATTTACAATAATGCAAGAAGTACTTTATGCTGCAGCTTGGTTAATTGGAGAATTTGCCAAGTAATGACGTTTTTTTCTATTACATTTAACTATAAATATCATAAAATATATTAAATTATATTATCACAGTTTTAATTGATCGTCGTCTTTTTAATTTTAGCGAATTGAAAGATACAGAACAAACTCTTCGTTGTATGCTAAAATATAAATCTTTGCCTCAACATATTGAAGCAGTATTTATCCATAATATACTTAAACTATTTGCATATATTATGGAAGGATATGCATTATATGGAAATTACAAAAGCATACTAGAATTGTGTGATGTAATAAGTGATAAAATGAATGAAAGCATCAAATCTGCTGAATTGGAAGTACAAGAAAGAGCTAGTACAGTGCTTATAATTGTTAATATAGTTAAAGAAGAAATTTTAATAAGTAAGTTAGGACGATACACTTCATTTTATTGATTTTACTGTGTTCTTGGTTTTATTATTATCATTTAATAATAGTTATTATAATCACAAGTAGTATCGTTGGTTGAAATAATTGTGAAGATACGCAACCTAATGGCCAAATTCCTGACAAGGCTGATTTGATTTCCCCTTATGTCTCAAGTGCTGTATGGTGGAGATACCAATCGTTCTGCAGCCAACGCATAAAATACTTATTTTCTCTAATTCGGCCAGCGAAGGCTTATCGAAAACGGTGTGGAACTGAAAGCGACAGTATTGCCATATTAAAATGTGTAATATGTGTAATACTTTGACGAAAATATCTTTGGATGAAAAATCCGCGTTTATGTTTTGAAAATTTATTCATGTTAAACATAGAATAAACAAAAATAAAAATTCTTTTATGGGTACTGAATATGTCGTATGATCCGAAAAAAAGTCGTTTAGTTGGTTTGGAAATGTCGATTAGACATTTTCTATAATATTTTACGTATGAAATAACAGCGATCTTCATTTCCAAGCCAACTCTGACGCCATTCTTTGTTTAATCATATAATATATTAAAGAATATAAGAAATCCGTTAATCTACGGATTAATCAGTAGCTCTGGCAACGTCTCTAGTAACCATTCACTCTGTCGACAGAAAACAGAACTACAGTATACAGTACTCTATCTGCTGCGCTGTAAACGACTATCAGCGCGCAACGGCGCAGAGCTAAACTAAATCTCGGACAGGCTGTCGGTAACGCCAGCTACATCTCCACAAACATTATGCCAACTACATCTACATTAAATTTGACTGTTTATTTACATGGCATGACATTATGTCTTCTATATTGAGTTATTCAGTTTCAACTTTTGATTTTTTAACCTTATTAGCAATATGCTTATTCTCGAGAGTATTGATTATACGTTTCAGCTTGACTAAGTACGGTCTAATACTTGCGTCCATTCGTTTAAGTGATCGTCAGCTAAACTGATTTGCCGTAGTTAATTGTATATTCATATATATCCTACACAACTCAATTCAGTCTACAATCAGTTCATTCTACTCTTGAAACATTATTCCTTGTTATTATTTCTTTATTTGATTTCTTTATTATTTATTCAGCGTTATTATACATACTCATTAGTATTATTCTGTTAATTTAATTTTTAAGTAGGGCATTATTTTGTTTTTAGGGAGTATGTCAAATGTAATGGATGGGGAACTCGATTCACAAAACACTGAATTAGCTAACGAAATTTTAAATTTGTTTAGCGGAGAATTAAATCCGGTAGCCCCAAAGGCACAAAAGAAGGTACCTGTTCCAGAAGGGTAAAAGCATTCTATTTTGTTATTTTACACTCAACTTGATTGTTGTATTAATATAGATTAGATTTGGATGCTTGGATAAATGAACCGATAGAAACATCCGACTCTGATTCTGAACCGGAATCAACAGAAAATTTATTTGTTAAAAGTGATAAATTTGAATACAACAATAGCGAGAAGCAGCACTATGAACCATCTGAAGATGATATAAAAAAGGTTTTTTCTGACTATAAGTTTGAATTTTACGTTCTACATTTTCTTCGTGTTTTAGAGTCGCGAGGCTCGCAAATATGAACAACAAAACAACCCACACTACCTTAAAGGTAACTTATCTTCGGAAAGAAGCAGCAATGGACAGGATAATGTCGAGAACATACCAGTAAGCGAGTTAAACCTCAATGTTTCTCTAAAAGTGCTTGGGCAGAAACGTTCTGATAAATATTTGAATCTTAAAAAAGAGAAGTCATCTAAAAAGAAAAACAAAAAGAAAAAAAGGCATCACAAATCAGAAAGGTATGTTAGTTATGTACCTATTTTAAAAAATGTCTCTCTATCCTATGCCTCTAAAATGTCTCTCTATCCTACGGGTAATTTGCCACTGTAAGAAAATCTACCAAATAAGATAGTTATTTTTTGTAAACACTGCTGCGTTAATCCAGCGGAGACTAATTTGCCAGCAGTGATTTACTAATAAACAAATTTGCCTAACGGGCAAAAAATGCTTAACGTTTCGGGGAGTATATCTCTTCTCGTCGTCGGAAGCAAAAAAACAAAGAAAAAAATATATTTAAAATATTTAAATACAACTAGTCAAGAAAACTTTAGTTTTATTTTTTTTAATTTGCGATCATAAAAATATCGTTTTATATTTCCAGTTCATCAGATGATAACATTGAAGCATCCATAGTTGAAGTAAAAAGGGAATTAGAGTTACCAGAGGGAGCTACTTTATCTGATTCTGATAGTGATCATAATAACTTGGATGATCCTCATAGAGCTTTAGATATTGATCTTGATCTGTAAGTATTACATCAATACATGTAATATCAATTACTATTGTACTTACTTGCTTTAGTCCGCCCTTGACTGATGTTTTGTCAAAAAAAGAAACAAATATATTTAGTAATGATAAAAAGGAAAGGAAAGAAAAGAAGAAATCTAAGAAAAAGGTAAAGGAAATTACATTAGAATGTGTTTATTTGTCAAATTTTAAAGTAGGCTTCAACATCTACGATTCCTCATTTGTACAATATAATGTATGACCGAAAAAGAAAGCCGTCAATTACCGTAGAAATATCGACCGATTACATATTAAATTTAATCAATCATATTTTTTGGCGGTTTTTTTCAATATATTTCTTACTTTTGTTGAATTACATAAAATATAAATTCTTTAAAGGCCATAATTATCAATATAAATTTATTATTATTAGGATGAAAAAGAGAAAGATAAAAATCACAAAGGGAAGTCAGATAAAAAGAAAAAAGATAAAATTGAAAACCTATTGAAACTAGATAAAGATCCAGAGGAAGTTAAACTTGATTCGGGGCCAAAGAAAATTAAGAAAGGAAAGAAAAAGTCAAAAGACAGGGAAAAAGAAGGTAGGGGGTATCAAATCAAATTTTAAAGTTTTATTGTATATTATTGTAGGAAAGAAATCTAAGAAATCCAGTTCAGGTTATGAAGAAGCTTTAGGTATTTCTACACCTACAAAAGAAAATTAGCACTTTTTAAACGTAGCATAATAATCTAGATAGGAATCTAGAGTTTTATTTCTATATAATTTTATTGACTATGATAATACATATGTAATAAGCGTTCACGTGTTGTGCGAAATATTAAAATAATAATATAAATAATAATATACCGCGTGCTATGATTGAAAAAAAAATAGCGTCAGCGATGACTATGAAATGAAGATCGCTGTCATTTTATATGGGAAATGTCCTCAATCGTCATTTCCCAGCCAACTGGATGCCGTTTTTTCGATCATACGGTATATATTGACAAAAAAACACTGAAAAGCACATACCTATTTGTTTTCTACTGAAAATAATTCCAAAATAACTCGCAATCTGGCAACATTAAAGATGTGCGCATGCGTAGTGTCTGTGACTATATGCAGCAAAAACTCGTTTCAAGGTCAGCCACCGGATCCACACCATTACCCTTTGGTAATGTTAATATGCTATCTGTTGTCTATGTCTATGAAAAAATAAAGAAAAGAGATGGGTATATAAACGCCCATTTCTACTCCCTATAACGGCCTAAAAACTGTGTTTTTTACACGTATAAAACCTCTTTTACATAATTTTTTATTAGGCCACCCCTTAAATATAGGAGCATACTTTTTTATTCTATGGATGATTCTTACTGCCAAAAGTGCCAAATACATATGCCAAAGCCAAATGTCAAGTCAAATGTCATTTATGGCGCCATTTTAATCGTTCAACCTGGTTCAACGTTCGTCATTTCTATTTTTAGTTTGTGGATAGTTTGTGGTATAGTGTAAAAAGGAAAAGTTATTAATGTTGAAAATTACATATATTTATTGGAAGAGTTTTTCATAGTGATTAACCGTTTCTGTTTTTTAAATTAAGCTCTTCAAGGAAAGTTCCGTGTTTTGTAATCACCCCATATTTTACTAAAAATATTTAGCACCAGAGGCTGCTGTTTGCCGCCTGTTTTCTTAAGAGCTAATGTGATTATTCTTTTGCGGAATTTTTAAGGAAATCTTGACTTAAAAACTCTAACATAAAATATTTTCAAGGTAAGAAATCATTATATTTAATTGTGTGAGGTGGATATTTCCATATAACTTTTCCAATAAACATTTTTGATTTACCAATGACGCCATATTAGGTAAAAAGAATGTATACTTTTTAGTTGTTAGGTACTTAATATATTTTATAAATATATCTGATGCACTTGTGCATACATACTTAGTGATGTATATTGTATATGTATAATATAACTTAAATTTATGGATATTTCAATCATAATACAGTATAAAAGCCAGTTATTTATCCCTTTTTTTAGTTTCTTTATTTCTGTAAAAAGAACGCAAATTTAGTTGTATTTTTGTGAAATATAATTTCCTCATATTTTAAGTATTTACATAAAAAGTTATACATTTAAGTGTGTTATATTTTAGATGGTTGACGTTGATAAGCTTTCTGATGCAGAACTTCGCACAAAGCTTCTTGAATTTGGTTTTCCTGTGATGCCTATAACAGGAACCACAAGAAAAGTTATGACAAAAAAATTAAAACTTTTATTAGAAAACAAAAATAGAGTTGGATCATCCGATGGAAGAAGGTATGATGGTAGTTGGTTTCTTAACCTTATCTTTGTAATATGCTATAATCTTTTTAATAGATCTTTAGGCAGATATTCTAGTGAAGAGGAAAGTGATACAGATGTTAAATCACTGAAAAAAGATAGGAATCGCAGAGCTACCATGGCTGCTCCTGTTTCCAGCACTACTTCAAAATCAAAAAAGATAATAGTTGAACCTGAGGTTTTATACATAAAGTTTTTAGTATGCTAAATATTCTAATATATATTTATTGTAGCATGTTAACACCAGCCCTAAAAAACGTGAGGGTAGAACAACTACAACAACTACGCGCACTCAGAAGATTGTTACAACAGCTCAAGATGAATTTGATACGGGATCTGATTCAGAATCTGATGTTTTAGCAACATCCCAGAAATATGATACAAATTTGTATGATTCTGGTTCAAAATATGATGATTCAACTAATGATGTTGAATTTAATAAACTGGGCTCATCGAAGAAGTCTTCTCTGTCAAACTCCTATTCTAGGTAAAGTTTATGATAAATTTATATGGTATTATGTTTATGTTACAGTTATGGTCTGATATTCGGTTAATATCATCATTACATGGTTAATCTTGAGAATAACACACAACCAAAAACCAAACCAAACCCAAACATTAACCTGTTAATGTCGACATTAACTGGACATCGCACTTTAACGGTAACATATACATTATATTGTTTTGTAATAATAACTATAAATGGTGTACTTCATCAAAGTAGATTTACTTTAGGTAGCTTTTATTAGCTCAGTTTTACCTGTGGGTGGTTTTTATGTGGATATAAACCAGTTTTATTTTTTTTTTGTAATACAAGCAATTTGGAGATTTTTTAATTGCGTGATGTCTATCACAAATAATTTAACATGATCTAAGCTTTAAACTGTTTTTCACAAATCAGAAAACCAAAGATTTGCTTTAAAATAATTTTAAATACTTAGTAGTCCTTAAATAACTAAATATATAAAAAGTAGTGATGAAATGTTTGTTGGTAGTACAAAACATAAATTTATATATATTTATCTTTCAAGATATTCTCCACCAAAATCTGAAGATTTGAGTTACAGCAGCCCAAAAGTGTACAATTCCAGTTCACCATCTAGATATACATCTGCTGGTGGCTCGTTAGCTTCTGATTATGCAGCTGACAGGCTCAATCAAATACGATCAAGATTAAGTTTAAGTACATCAGGTATTATATTGTGGTTAACCCTACTGAAATTAGGTACTATATTACTATATTTATTTTCCTAACAGGTTATGAGAAACCAGCCTCATATTTATCATCCAATAATGATGCAGTGGAGGAAAAAGATACGCCATTTTTAAGTAATTTCACAAAGAGGCTTTCATCCCTAAGTGCTTCGAAAAAATCAGATTTCAATAGTAGAAATGACATGGTGAAAGAACATGATACTAATGGATCATCCTTGTATGGAAAATCATATCTATCAAAGTAAGTATATATTCTAAAATCATCTTAATGATATCTTTTGTGTATAATTTTTGGATACTTATATTTATTATGATGATATGTTAAAAATAAACATATTGTTGATATTAAAAATTAATATTTGCCAACTTTTTATTATCTTGCAGTAAGTAAACTGTTTATGGGAGAACTATTAATAAATATAGCGTCAATTTCCAATGCTAGTCATAATTTTAACTAATTTTAAGTGTCTCCAGATTTTAACAAGAATTTAAGAAATATCTATTTCATATAAAAAGTACATTATGTTATTTGAATTTACCTAATAAACAATTTTATAAATTGTCAATCAATAAAATTAGGAAATTATTTAGTATTGAATTATTGATACCACACAAGCCATAAAATTATAGCATGCTTAACCCCAACGTGAACCCCACTTTTTATTTGTGTATCGAGGATTTTTGTAATTTGCGCCCATAACAGATTGTGATAAGACTTGTATCAAATTTTTTTTTTATCGAGTATGCTGAACTAAATCTGCATAGACATGCCAACTCAACAATAAAAAAAAATCATTATTGCTAGCATTTCACATGTATAATATGAGAGATCATTACAGTCTGTCCAACGACGAAATCCTTGACAAGTAATTATTTCAAAATATTGTGAAAAAATCTAATCGAGTCATTCTATTTTCGAGAAAAATTAATGTATGTGTTAATACAAAACAAACAAGGGTGTATTTTAATTAAAACACCACAAAAAATTATAATTTTTTTACTTTCAAACTCCAAGAAACTTATTATTTTTTGCTATATATAACTATAACTTAATGTACAAAAATATATGTACAAATAAAAAAATTAATAATGCGTAGGAATAAATACATAAATAAAACAAAATATTTTATTAATAATAACAGTGACTGAATTTTATACCTTAAAAGTTGGTTAATTAACTATGCCTTTTGATTTTATCTTTCTGCAGTACTAAAATCTATTATTTACTTATATATCAAGCGATGCTGTTATTTTACAGCTACCCTAGTTTTTACTACCATAGACGAGATGGTATACAAACTTTATTGATGGTAACTTTATTGTATTTAAAACTCTGTCTGGACACCGAATATTAGCTGTGCTCTGTGTCTACAGTTAATTTTCCCTCTATTTTTCCTCCACTAAACTTCAAAAGAGACAGCACATGTAATAACACACATAGTAACACGAATCAAAATGCATCATCTTCCAAAACGCAGGCTACTTGACATAATTTGACACAAATTGTAACCTATAATTTGGCAAGACTTTGACAGGCCTCAAAAATGCAAAGTCGGGTTCATACCAAGTGTGACCCTCCACTGCGTCCTGATTCTTAGTGAATATGAATACGAATAGTTAACTTAAAAAATATTAGAAACTTTTTTAGTGAAATAGATTTGTATGGACGTCGTCTGCTTTTTTTCTGTCATCATTTGTCATAATCTTACCTGAGAAAAAAACGGTATACAGGGTGGTCCGAACTGTATTCCGGAAACTTCAGCAGCATATTGTGCAGATAAAAATAAGTAAAAATGTTCATATAAATATGTGTCCTAAAATGTTTAGATTCGGAGATACAGGGTATAGAAGTAACGTAAAAATATTGGATGAAAATTGATGTCTGGGAGTTTTTTGACAGGAGAAATTTGATTTTAATGTCAATATGACTCCTACTTGTAGAGGGCGCCACCTACATATTTTTTAACTGGTTTGAAGAGTAAGAACTTTTCGTCTGTACCTGTATAAAACTACTGAGTAAAAAAATATACATTTACGACATTTTTTTATGTAAAAAAGGTCTCTTGGGAAAAATCGCTACGAGTAATGGTTCTCGAGATATTTGGAATCGAAATTATCCATACCTGTCACAATTGACATAAATTAAAAATGTTGACTAAATAATTATTAGACTGAAATCATAAATTTGAAATGTTTTTGTGCCAAAAGTTCAACAGAAACTGTTTTGTCGTCATTTTTTCGCAGAAACATTTAGGATTAATTTTAAAAAATAAAAATTAGCTGAATTTATTATTTCAGTCAAATAACTATCTACTCAACTTGTTTATTTTTTGCCAATAATGACATGTATTGACTATTTCCATTCTAAATATCTTGAGAACGGTTACTTGTAGCGATTTTTATGAAGAGACATTTTTTATGTAAAAGTCACGGAAATGTATAATTTTTCACTCGGGTATACCCCCGGTATTTTTTACTTTATTCGATAGAAAATGTCACTCTGAATAGAATGACATATCATATGTCAACTTTTGACATTTACGCATATGGTTTATTTGAAATTATAACTTGCGGTTTGAAACGAAAATTTGACTCGAAATACCAAGTGTTTGGTATCAAATTATTCGTAAAAAAGTGCTTTTTTCCAAATATGCTAACGAGCCACCTTCGTTCCATTTGAAAAAATTGAGATATGATTAAAAATACGATTTGAGCATTGTCTAACTGGCCAGCACAAGACACTAAAAACAATAGACGATCAAATCTATTTTTCCAAGGCTCCTTGATGAAGAATTAGTGTTTTTAACATAGCCATGGCACTCTAGATTGAATTTTAAAATAAATTTTTTTATTAAGTTAGAATGTCAAAAGTTGACATATGATATGTCATTTTATTCAGAGTCATTTTCTATCGAATAAAGTAAAAAAATACCGAGGGTGCTATTTAAAAATCAAAAGTTGTAGTAATTTCCGGTAAAACAGGAAGTGACCAAAAACAATTGAATACACCAATCAATCCTAATTTATGTCATATACTAACATACCAAATCTCGTTTTTTTATCTGAAAAGTAAAAAAGTTATAGGGGTGAGCCACTTTTGAGACGCACCCGGTTATTGTCTTTTTAAATCTTTGAAATTTACATAATCTTGATTTTCGTATTAATGTTCTTATTCTTTGTTTCAGCTTTAAATCCAATAGGAATCGTGAGAATGCCTATGCTTATAAAACTAGGGACAACGACGGAAAAAGCAACTTCGTATCTTATGCCGTTTTAGCAGGTGCCGCCTTGTTTTTTGTTTTCCTCGCTGTTGTATACCTGGGAATGAAATCTGACACGTCAGTTGTTACTTCTGGTAAGGGCAATCGGTATTCTTAACCTATTTTAACCCTTTAATTTTCGAATATTAACATAGTTATTGCCATTATTTCGATTTTCTATTGCCTAAGCACAAAGTTTTTACACATGACAGTTCATTTTAGTCTAAGATTTTATTATTGATTACATTTTTATTAATTAGTCTGTTACTGTGTCAAAATTAATTTGTTCAAAATTTATTTCATTTTCTTTTAATTAAGCATTTTATCTTGTATGTATCGTGTGGTTATAGTCTTACCCTTGTATTTGTTTAATAAACAATAAATATTTTGCTTGGTTGGAATGAATTGTTTTTATTTTATTATTCATAATGTTTTTCCAGATATTTAATATCCCTATATTTTCCTGAATCCTATTAAGTGCCAAAATATTTATTGCTTATTAAATGGGTGATAGGTATTTGATAGGACGTCGAAAAATTTCGGTCTTCAAATTTGTACCAGTCTACCAGATACTAATGATAGTATTATATTTTAGATTTAGAATATTAATAATACTAATATACTATGTGTTCCCCATTTTATGAAAAAAGATCAGTGCTTAACTGATAAATAGAAATCTATTTTGTTTTCAAAAATATTTCTCCAAAAAAATATAAATTCAGTAATTTTTAGTATTGAATAATTTTACTAATTTGAGGTGTTAAACGACGTTTTTTTCTTAGAGAAATTAAATATGTTCTAATATTGAATTCTGCGCTGCAAGTCAAAAATGGATCATTTATCTGATTCTAGATGAGTTATTTGGAATATTAAAATTGTTACAAAGGCGATGGACGTGATTCTGAAGGGGCGGCAAACTTTCTCTCCACCCCGGACGCCCCTAACCCACGCTACGCCACTGATTGAAAGTATTAAAGGGATATTTTAGGACAGTAAAAAATATATTTTGCTTCAATCAATCATTGCTTTATTGTTATAAGATTTCTCTTGTTTACAAAGTTGTAAATAATAAATAAACATAAAACAAATACAAAACTTTGTCAAAATAATAAAAACAAAAACACAAGATAGCACAAAATATACAAAAATCTTACAAATACGTTTATTAGTTTAACCTAATTTAAGACCTAAATTAAAAAAATATATATATCTACTAATAAAAATAGAGTAGAATAGAATAAAAATATTTCCCGACAGTCAAACAAGTAAGTCGGATCTACCAAGAATCAGCGAAAAACTCCTCCACGTCATAATATGCCCTCGCAACCAGCAAGGACCTGACAGTCCTTTTAAATGCCCTATGAGGATATATTTTTCTTATATTCAGTTGCAGGTGATTAAATATCTTTTTGCTACTGAAAACAAAAAATTCGTGGACCAAACTCGATGATGGTATGGGGAGCATAATCACATAGGATTGTTTTCACCTTATTAAGTAATTATCAGGTAGTAATTGTTAATTTTGAAGTTTAACTTAATATAATGTCATTTTAACAGAACGTCAACGATTTCTTGTAGACGTATCTGTTTTAAAAAGTAAAGTGTTCTCGAATAGTTCAATTTAAATATTTTTTTTCTTGATTCTTTATATTTTTTTGCTTCCGACGATGGAAAGAGAAAACTTTCCGAAACGTTAAGCATTTTTTTCTTTGTTAGGCAAATTTTTATTACTGTAAACACAACTTCTGACAAGCAGCGTCCGTTTAGGTTTAACGCAGAAGTGTTTACAAAAAATAAGTATTTTATTTTGTAGATTTTTCTTGCAGTGCAGTGGCGAAAAACCCATAAAGATATTTTTGGATATATTATTTCAGCTTATAATTTCTAAAATATTTTCATTAAGATTCATTAACCAAACATGTAAAAAAAAATTATCCTAGTAAATTTTTTATTTTTAAATGTAATGGAAGACATTATATATTCTGGGAGCTGTGAATAGCAGGCTTCTTTAAACCGCTACAAAGTTAATAGTTTAAGTTATCAACAATTCATTTGAAACAAATCGGATTGAATATGAATGATTTGGGAAGTAGTTTTAGGGAAAAAAATAACGTTGTGTCTAAGTGCACGTTAACGTGTACCCTATTATAATATTTTAGGTACACGGAAAAATGATATGGCCTGGTTACGAAAGCAGCCTGTGGCTCCGTGGGTCGCTTCGGTGGCGAGGGGTCCTCAGATCGATCCCCGACAAAGATAGAACTTTTTTTATTTATTTTTTTGCAGCTGTCGGAATAGCCTACGGCGTATTTTGATTGCGTTGGTTAATCTTTGGGGTTATTTTTTTTTGTTTAGATTGCACGCGCGAAATACCCGTTTCGCGTGCACCGCAATTTTATTTCTAGTACACGTTAACAACGTGCACCTAGACACAAATTAAAAAAAAACAACGTACTCGGCCAGCTTTGGCCGAAAAAATTACCCCAAGTGGCCGAAAATCGTTTTTCGGAAAAATATGCAATAAAAAATTACAAAGTGTTTCTTTGAATAACAAATGAAGCTTGGGTAATTACCTATAAAAATGGTCTTTATCATTTTTTACGTAGAAGTAGTAGTTTTCGAGATATTCCGCCTCGAAGATCCCTCAATTTTCTCTGCAAGTCTTAACGGCTCCGGAGATTTTATAAGCGTATCATTGATTGATATGACAAATTGTGTATTAACTAAAATTTAATATTTTTTATGGTTCAAAGTTCATTTAAAATGTAGAATCAACAGCTATCACATTTTGGAACTTGTCTGAATTTATACAATTTAGGAAATCCTACTAAGCGGCAAGATAAAACTGACCACGCGCACTTTAAATTTTCTAATAAAATATGTAAGTATAGTTCATATCAAATAAACTTTTAGTCACGTGATTAAGCTTGACCGGCACAGCGTTGTTCACTTTTACATATTTTCTTTTAATTAAAATATTTTGGGAAACAAAAATAAATGAATTATAAATATATAAACAGTTATTATTTACATCAACAAAATTCACCTTCTTAACTGCACTTAAAGGACATAAAGAGCCATTACTACCGCTTTCCCGTTCAAAATATTCTAATAAAGTTGCGATAAGTTTTTTACGGCTATTAAGCTATCTTCTACACTTTGCACTAAAAGAGGTTCTAAATAGAACATGTTCGACTGCAAGGTCTGCAAGTAAAAATGTTTAAACTTAAAATATCCCAACACAATTCATTTCAAACCAAAAACTCGTAATTCAAAACTAAACAATATGTCAGGAAATAAACGTGGCAACTTGACATTTTTTACAGCAGAGCTCCCATCTGAACCCCCAGCGGGAAATTTAAATTCGAGTTAGTCAGTCCAGCGCCGAATATGTCCATTGTTGGCAACAATAATGAATTTAAAAATCGCGCCCTGGATTACTTAACTAAAACTTTAATTAATATGGAATATACATCTCATTTACTATAAACACGTAATATTGTGTTATGCTAGTTCAACACTTAACGGACATAAAGGGCCATCATTACCGCTTTCCCTTGTATCAGCACACTTACCGTTGAATCAAGGCCGCTGCGTTAACATAAAAGATTTTGCTATTGTGTTTCTGTATTATCATTTATTAAAAGTATTTCCTGTTACAATTTCTGCATTTTATCGACTTTTTAGGTTTTGTTACTCCAATATGTACGCCATTTAGAAACAAAATAGGCTTTAATTGCATCAATCCGGAAGACGCTCAAGATGCTGTGAATCTTTTAAACAGTATAAAGCCCGAATTACAAAAGAGATCTGTTGCTTCTCGTTGCTTCGATTCAACCATTAAACCGCAAATGACCGAATCGGAAATTGTGACGTTTTGCCAGACGAATTATGCTATTGATGATATTAATATCATAATGAATGACCTAAGAAACCTAGAATTAATGATATTTTCTAATCCGGAATGGGGTGTCAGTATTGCACAAACAGAGAATAATAACGGGCCAGTTTCAGAAGATAATGTGGTGAAAAATATGGTAAGTTTTATCTACTATAATACTTGATATCGCTGCTTCTCCTTGACATCTAGTTTTGTATTACCCCATATATATTACGCAATAGAGCTTATTATACAATATGATCGAAAAAAACGGTGTCAGCAGTGGCTGTAAAATGAAGATCGCTTTCATTTTATATGTAAAATTCCTGGATCATATACTTACGTGGATAAGTAAATCACTATGGTAACTGTCGCAAACATATCAACGATTTCCATTTATCTTCTTTTTTTGTTGCACACGCGGTGCTTCTACTCTATCTATCCTTTTCGAGGACATATCGGCCGCGCTCCAAATTTGAACATTCATTTTAAAAATTTAATTTGTAAAATGCCTTTATTTGAACAATAAATTGAATGTTTCTCTCTCTTCAGTCCTGACCCCCATTAGGGAGTGTAGTGGTCAGCGTAACATCGTGGATGATTTTTCTCCATGCGCCTCTGTCTTTTGTCATCTCGATGACATCGTGCATTGGCTTGCTACAGCTAGTCGTGATCTGGTCTATCCATCGAGTTGGAGAGCGGCCACATGATCTACGTCCCTTCACCTTGCCTTGAATTATGAGTCTTTCCATATTGTCCGGACTTTTCCTCATTATATGTCCAAAATATTTTAGTTGTTTTAGTCGGATTTTACAGGAAAGCCTGTTAGTAATATTAAGTTTATTTATAATGGAAACGTTTGTACGGCGTTCAGTCCATGGGATACGGAGCATACGTCTATAACAGTACTTCTCGGTAGCATCGATCTTACGTTCCGCCTGTCTGAGAGTCCACGATTCGCAGCCATACGTCAATATTGGGAGTACCAAACAGTTGACTAGCCGGTTTATGGTGGCTCTTGAAATCTGGCGGTCTTTCCAGATCTTGGTCAGTCTCCCAAGAGCTACCTTTGCCATGTTGCACCTACCTGTTTCACCTCTTTTCCGATGTGCCTGTATTTGTCAATAGTGATCCCAGGTATACGTATGACTTAACGACTTCAAAGCAGTCGATATGACTTATATTTGGATGGTTGTTATGTTGCCTATCAACTATCATGATTTTGGTTTTTTGCGTATTTAGTTATTTTTTGGCCATTTATTGAAATGCCTCCTTCCCATGTTTCTAGCGACTTTCTCATTATGTATTCTCCGTATATGTTAAATAGGTGAGGAGACAATATACACCCCTGTCTGACTCCTTGTTCGAGGGAAAATTCCTTTGAAGCTGAATCCAGTATTCTAACTGATCCTGTAGTGTGAATGTTTACTGTCACAAAAATTAAATTATATAAAAAATACATTTAGTCACTCAGTACGAATATCAATATTCTTAGGAAATCTCACCAGAAAGTATGAATGTGGCGCAATATAAATAAAAGAACTGAATACTTTACTTGCCTATGAAAAGATAATTCGGGGACCTTTATATTAGAACTTTCACACACTAAACACTTTCTAGTCATTTTTGCGAGTATTTAGAAAATCCAACGAAAAAAAAAAAGAAATATAATTGCACAAACTTAAAATTAACTTCTCACAGAACACATTTGCATCCTTGGCTATATAAAAGCAGCAGACAATGAAAAGTTGGTTTCCATAACATGGTTCGTATAATTTGTGCTTTCTAAAACCGTATAAAATTGTGATTGTTTTGGAAATACGTGTAACTTTTAATACGCATGTGCAAAGTAAGAAAGTCTCGAGAAAGACAAACCTATTGAAGGTTTCATAAGTGCAATAAAGAAGGTTTGAAAATGGCATGTCGTGATATTGGAGACATCTTTTTTAATGCTTATGGCGTTGATTTATCCACGTAAATATCTAGGGTAAAATTATATGGGGAATGTCATCGATCATCTTTTCAAGCCAACTGGACGCCGTATTTTTCCGCCCATGCGGTACTTATGTGGTAGACAATACAACAACACAACGCAACGTTTCGGTCAGAAGTAACACTGACCGTTATCAAGTGTGAACTAATCCAAATTCTAAAACTACTGAGCTTATATACTAGAGCTGAGCATGCACCCGTGAATTAGTTGGATGCAGTCAAGCATGAGGTTGTACACTGTATACCTGCATTGGAGCGTTTTATGAGTGGTTACCGTATTGTTGAAATTTGCATACCGTAGTTTGGGGCGAAATTGATAACCGGGGGCGAAATTGATAATTACATGGTTTAGTCACATTTTTAAATTTAGCGCCAAATTTATGCAACTAGAAGCAGTGGTGTGCATACGTCTTGTCATCAAAGCTTTACTAAACAAGACTGATGCACACCACTGCTTCTAGTTGCATAAATTTGGCGCTAAATTTAAAAATGTGACTAAACCATGTAATTATCAATTTCGCCCCAAACTACGGTACTTGGATGGCTAAAGATTTTATTATTGTTAGATATGAATACGGCCTCTTTAAATTTACGCTTTTTCCAATGGGATTTTTTGGATTTTCGGGGGACAACCCGGGCTTCCGACCATTTTATGTTGTGGTGCTTGGGCCACACATGATCTGCAATGCCCGATTTCATTATTTCACCTCTTTGCGTATGTTTTTTATGTTCGTTAAGTCGTACATGTGGAGGACGTTTTGTGTCTCCACTATACGACTTACCGCACTCGCAAGGTACCTAATAGATGCACTCTTTCTCTTGTTTTGATTATTCCGATTTTGTTTTTGTTACGACACTTTTCAAAATAGTCCCAGACTTCAAAACAGTTTTAATTTTATATTGCCTGGCTATTCGCCTTATCTTCTCCATTAATGATGAGAGAGATAGAGAGATTGCTGAGAATTTAAATATTGTCCTATGTGTGGGTTTTCTATAAACAGCAGTATGGATGTTCGGTCCCAAGATTTCGGTACCGGTATCCGGTACCACGAAGTACCGGTCCTATAACCGGTATACCGGTTCCAGCAATTACATCGGTGGGACCGATACTGAACCGGTATACTGGCTGGACCGGAAGGACCGAAAGATCGGTTGGACTGGAAGACCGGAATATCGGAAAGACCAAAATATCAGTTTTGGTTGTTGTGCCAGTGAGCATATACCTCATGATACCGTATTAAAAAATGTAAATAGAAAGTTCTCGTGCCTGTAACGTTAAGTACATGCGGTAAAGTAATAAATACGGCATTTTGAGGGATAAATTAGATTTCTCGGAATATATCGTAAATCTATCCGTTATAACATTATCGATCTAACTTAAGATTTTCATTGTTTATGTTCACATTTCCGGCATATTTTTGATTTGTCCAACATTCCCTTTCCTTATAAAAAATGGAAAAAGTACTGGAAGCTGTTGTTCTTGGAGATATAAATGGAGCGGAAATAAGATGCTATTTTACATATTTTAAATAATAGAGTAGACGCTATTGAATATAGGCCAGAGTTTTACGGACATTTTAATTTTTATAATATACATGAGTAAGATGCATTACTTGAAATTTAGACGCGCGTTTCGCTAACCATGTTAGCATCATCAGCAGATGATTAAGACTAACTAAAAAGTACAATTTGAGCGTTTATATACTCGCTCAGTGGGTACCGAGTGGGCGTGGCAAGATCTAGCCAACCGAGTCAGAACCCACCGAGCGTAACAGTTAGATTTCCGCCACTAGAGTAGTAGGAACAAAGGACAAGGAATTGGACCGTTGTCTTTGTTCATATTATCTTTACATTTATTAATTCTGATGTTTTCATATGCATCTAAATGCCTGTAATTTGAGACTTGTATAATTAATTTTAAATTATTAAGATCAATACAAAATTTTTTAACAACAGATTACAATCTTTACAAGAAATTTCATAAATACCCGACCTTTCCAGTGGAGGTGTTTTGGATTACCTAATAATTGTTGTAATTTATTATTAGCACTATGCACAAGTTTATAATTGACATTCTTAAAAATTACTTGCATTGCGAATTTAAAATCGCTTGCGATTTTCTGCTCATCTCTAATAGCCATCGCTGGCGCAGTTTTTTTTTCGATTATACGGTAGTTAGAGAACACAATTAGCTTTGCAACAAATCCGGTATCGGATTCGTTTTGTAGGTTTTTTGATTTTCATATTAACCCGTCAAAGGCGAAGTTTTTATTTTTAATTTTTTGCAATTTTTAAAATGTAATTTACCTTAATATGATCATAATTAAGACTGTTCTATGCAAAAAAAAACAAAAAACTTACGCCATTTTGAAAAAAACTACTGTTACCATATGGTAACGCCACTCCTTTAAATGTACATTTTATTCAAAATAGAAACTTATACAAAAATATTAAAGTTTTAAATGAAAACATACAATTTTAACAAAAACAGGAAAAATATATCAATATGTTTATAGTTTTGGTCGTTTCTGTTAATATTCATTGTTGTAAATTAGGAAAAACTGAAAGTAATATCTTAGCGCATTTAACTCAGCAAATAATTTTATTACCTAAGTAAGACAGAATAATTTCTAATTGTTGTTTTTGTGGTGATAGTCCTAGCGTGCAATAATGAATCCGCCACATAAGTATAGACATAATTAACTATTGCGATTTATTACAATGGCTAGACAGAAGAAATTAATTTTATGGTCTGTAATTGATCAGCCGGTCTAGACGTATATTTTATGACCTGTTGTGACTATTGTGCATATTAATAAAACGTCTGAAATTCGCAATCTACCTGAATTTCTCCAGTCATTTCACTATTATATAAAGGATGTCTGCTAGAATGCTGGTTGAAGCCTTATTTTTTATAATTTTATGTGACTTATATAAAGGCACATACTTTACTTATTTTTAATATTGTAATAATATTACAGAGTGGTCAGAAAAATATGATAACAGTCTTTCTATATCATAAGTAAACTTTACTTAGTAGACCACTTCGACGCACTGTATACTGAGTATTCCGTCAAGTGGGCACTTTATTTATCACTTTCATTTCGTTCATTAGTTCATTTGGTGTCTGAGCTGAATTTTTATCAAAATATAATGGTAAAACCCGAACATCTATCTGTTGCGGTTTCATAGTTAAAAGTTGTTTTTAGGAAATGTGCATCTATAAATTATTTATAATTTGCAAATAAATTATTTATAATTGTACTTGAAGTTAGCTTGAACCGTAGTAACCGCATAGCGACGTGTTTAGCTCCAGCCGTCGCGATTTCGTCGGTCGCCAACAGTAGTATCTGGAACTGGTATGTCCTTAGCGTCGCGCGATCTCGATCGGGACGTATTCGCTCCACCCGTCGCGCTAAAGTTGTAGTTCCCTGTCGCGAACAGAAGTAACTGCTGTAACTGGGCATCGACGCTCGACCTCGGCGGCGACTTACTTCGTTCCAGCAGTCGCTGGAGCGCTTCTAGGGTTAGGTTTTGCCTGTCGCGATTTGGTCGGTTACTATTGGCGTTGGTGCTCCCGTAGCTACGTTACTTTCGAAATAGAGATTTTTGGTATGTACTAGGCATGGTATAAAATAGTGTTGATTGAAAGATGAAACGCAAAAGCAAATAAAATAAAATAAAAATATTTTATTTGCTTTTATACATTTATATAAGTTTTATTGTTTATATCTATTTGTAAGGTTAGGTTAGACCACTAAACAATTTTTTTTGACAGTGGTTTGGACTTTGTTCTTGATTTTAACATTAAATATATTATATTGCAATACACATAAATATGAGCCGTTCATTTTATTTAAACGAAAATTGATAAAGAAAAAAAAATAACAAGGAATGTCATCGTTTTCCTAAAAATGAGTTAGATTGGCTATACACGATTCTAAACTCGATATTTGGAAAGTGAGTGGCGGATAAAAGTTACATTAATCTATCTTAATATAGATAAGTTAGATATATTTTTAGCGAGGACCACAACGCTTTGGAAGTCGGAACCTCGGTTACAAAATTGCGGTATTTTGTCGCGGTATTTTTCTGGAACGGTCGCTATTGTAACGCGACTCACGTGAAACCGGTATTTCCATCACTAGTTGTGTATGACATTTTAATTCACAGGCAAATTTTATTTTTTGTCATGTTTTAGATGTCGTTTGTTGAAATCTCCCAGGATTTGTTGGACAGAGTATTATATTCAATAGAATGTGTACTATATAATAATATATACCCGAATAAATCAACATTTGTAAACCTAAAATAGCTCTAGATCTCACCATAATAATATAATAGATTAGATAAGCTATTATTTTAATGAATGGATTTAATTATTTTCCAAAGCTTTTGTGGATTTAATTTTTCTTCTGTCTGTCGTTGTATTGCGATAAGCATGTTTTTTTAACCAAACCAAACCAAACTATGCAGTGGTATTTTATGCCAAATTATTTATTTTAGGAACAAGTTCTGTCTAAGAGCGACAGTAAAGTGACGAGCCTAATAATACTAAATCCAGACTTGCCGTATAGATGTAGCATATATAATTCTATTACGAAGTCCTTATATGCGTTAACTCTGGTGGGAATTATATTTGCTGTGTTATATGCATTTAGTTTTGGGTTTAAAATCTACAGGAGATATGAAGAAAAGCAAAAAGATGAGGTTTGTATTTCGATTTGTTATCTATTTATTTTGTTTCATAATGCCTAGTAAACATATTTTTAGAGAGGGACAAAAAAAATCAATGTCAAATATTACTTTATTGTTTTGTCAATTTATTTATCATACCAAATCGTAATTTTTTAGGTATTTTTCTAAAAGATTCATAATCTTACTCATAATTCAAATTCTGACATAATGTCTTTCCAGATTTACACCCTTTGCATATAGAACTAATTATAAAATATACGAGAAGTAATAAGAATTAAACAACAGAAAAGCACAACTCGCGTATTTCAAAACCGCAAAAGTTCAAATTTGTCAAGAGAGATCTCTAACAAAACGGTGATTGCTGTCACGTAGCTTCTATTTCTAATGTATGCATATAAAAATAGTTGAAGTTCTTTTTATTTGTTTGGATATGCGTCAAACTAAAACTGATTTTTGAAGTGAATAAACTTCTTTATGCGCGCTGGGAGTAAAAATTCAAGGCCGTAACACGACACGACAAACGAGAGGAAAAGTGGCAAGGACAGCCTACTCGGGCTTTATGTGAGCTATAGGGGGTTGAAACTCGGAATGTAGATGGTAGAAATATTTTGACGACGTTTCTCGCACTCTGAAATCCCATAATCAATTAATCAAATTAAAAAATCGTCCGATTTAAATGAAGTTTGGTATGTCGATGGATTTGACCAAGGCCAACTTAACCGTGTGCGACACGTATCACTATGACAGTTTTGACGTAAAAAACATCAAAAGTTGATGTCATCCGATCGCGACCAAATTTGGTGGGTAGGCTATGTAACGGTCCCACCCTGCAAAGTTGGATACGACGTTTCGTTTATATTTTCATCAGGATGGGATTAAGGAGTTGACATTGAAGAAAAATGTGGGTCGATTTCGGTATAATTGGAGACAGGTTACCGGATGACGCCTTCGACGTTTTGAACCGATGTCTCTAAATGGACGAAACCATCAGGATTTTTCCTAATTATAGGTCGATTGGAACCTTTGAATAAAAAGATTAAGGAAGGAGCATAATGCTATCCAAGAACGGTAAACTAATAGGATTGCTCATCCTCATAAGACGTACGTTCGCCTCTTCCCGCGCTTCAGCTGACAGTTGTGACGTCATTGTAGCCCTTGTCAAAGCCTTCGTGGCCTTGTCATGATAGTGTGTATTATTAGTTGCCTATGGTAAACTTATAAAAGTAACAGCTGAGAAATGTTGAGTTAATTATTTTGTCAATTTTAAATGTGAAAAAGGTGTCTTTAAAGTTTTTAGAGCTATAGAGTGTATAAATACGTTCATTTTGTGTTGTGGATTGTGACAAAGTGCATACTAAGTGCCCACGATTTTGTTTATTAATTATTTTAAAGCAAAATATGGAATCTTTAAATCCTAGTTAATATTGATCTTCTAGTTTGCCCAACATATTTCTGATTACAATCTTTACAAGAAATTTCATAAATACGCGACCTTTCCAGTGGAGGTGTTTTGGATTACCTAATAATTGTTGTAATTTATTATTATTAGCACTATGCACAAGTTTATAATTGACATTCTTAAAAATTACTTGCATTGCGAATTTAAAATCGCTTGCGAATTTAAAATCTCTTGCGATTTTCTGCTCATCTCTAATAGCCATCGCTGGCGCAGTTTTTTTTTCGATTATACGGTAGTTAGAGAACACAATTAGCTTTGCACGAAATCCGGTATCGGATTCGTTTTCAAATTTTTTTGATTTCATATTGAAAACATAAATCTATTTTTCTGTACCGATTGAAACCGGTCTTTTGGGACCGATATTAAACCGGTCTTCCGGTACCGGTACCGAAACCGGTATACCGGTCTTGTAAACCGGTATGCCGGTATACCAGAAGACCGAACATGTCTAAACAGCAGTGCTAATGAATCCATCGCTTCTAGTGACAAGAACATTGGAGGTTTTATACAACCCTGGGTCGTAATAAATTGGCAAAAAAGCAAAAACAGGAAAAATATATCAATATGTTTATAGTTTTGGTCGTTTCTGTTAATATTCATTGTTGTAAATTAGGAAAAAAACTGAAAGTAATATCTTAGCGCATTTAACTCAGCAAATAATTTTATTACCTAAGTAAGACAGAATAATTTCTAATTGTTGTTTTTGTGGTGATAGTCCTAGCGTGCAATAATGAATCCGCCACATAAGTATAGACATAATTAACTATTGCGATTTATTACAATGGCTAGACAGAAGAAATTAATTTTATGGTCTGTAATTGATCAGCCGGTCTAGACGTATATTTTATGACCTGTTGTGACTATTGTGCATATTAATAAAACGTCTGAAATTCGCAATCTACCTGAATTTCTCCGGTCATTTTACTATTATATAAAGGATGTCTGCTAGAATGCTGGTTGAAGCCTTATTTTTTATAATTTTATGTGACTTATATAAAGGCACATACTTTACTTATTTTTAATATTGTAATAATATTACAGAGTGGTCAGAAAAATATGATAACAGTCTTTCTATATCATAAGTAAACTTTACTTAGTAGACCACTTCGACGCACTGTATACTGAGTATTCCGTCAAGTGGGCACTTTATTTATCACTTTCATTTCGTTCATTAGTTCATTTGGTGTCTGAGCTGAATTTTTATCAAAAATATAATGGTAAAACCCGAACATCTATCTGTTGCGGTTTCATAGTTAAAAGTTGTTTTTAGGAAATGTGCATCTTTAAAAACTTTTTCATAGCAAAAAAAACTTATTTGCTATTGAAAAAACAGCGATAAAAGAGCACATTTTTGAAAAACACTCTGTAACTCCGAAACGGTAACAGATATCGGTGTGCGGTTTTTGCCATCGTGTTTTTGATAAAAATTGAGCTCCAGACACAGATATTAGTTTTCGTCTCCCTTTAAATGGTGTCCAATTTGGCACACCCTGTACACCATCCTAATAACATATTATTTAAAATACAATATTTTTTCATTCTAATTTAAGACAAAAGTCTTAATTTTTATATTTAAACATAATTAAAATATATTATATTCAATAAAAATAAGCTTGTTTTTAATTTCTTTCTTCCCAATTGTAAAAAATATTAAATTGAGAATTGATTCAAATATTTCAACTTATAATCCATAATCAAGAGAAAAATGAGGGGTGGGGGTCACTTACAGTGATCTTGTTCTACTGCAACTTTAGGATATAAACATATATTTTACCATAATGTTACGGATTCCGTGGGTCCACTAATTTAAACTCACGATAAAATACTTAACGAATTTATTTTCTCACTTTATACACAATTACTAACTTATAACACACAACAAACTAACTATTTATTAGATTCCTTCACCAAATTGTCCGATTTTCAATTTCCACGCGGTATATTCAAATTTCAAAAAACTCTCTCAGTTGTCGATGGCTCCGGCTTATATACTCTATTGACTGCTTCTCGAAATTTCCCCAATTCTCGGAAAGCGTACTTCTTCATACCAGACAATTCTATTGTCTGATTCCCTTACTTCTCGACTTGACTAAAAGATGGCGCCTGAAAAAGTCTTTTAATTTCTGGCGGATACGTTGCGGTTAAAATTCAAGGCCGTAACACGACACGACAAACGAGAGGAAAAGTGGCAAGGACAGCCTACTCGGGCTTTATGTGAGCTATAGGGGGTTGAAACTCGGAATGTAGATGGTAGAAATATTTTGACGACGTTTCTCGCACTCTGAAATCCCATAATCAATTAATCAAATTAAAAAATCGTCCGATTTAAATGAAGTTTGGTATGTCGATGGATTTGACCAAGGCCAACTTAACCGTGTGCGACACGTATCACTATGACAGTTTTGACGTAAAAAACATCAAAAGTTGATGTCATCCGATCGGGACCAAATTTGGTGGGTAGGCTATGTAACGGTCCCACCCTGCAAAGTTGGATACGACGTTTCGTATATATTGTCATCAGGATGGGATTAAGGAGTTGACATTGAAGAAAAATGTGGGTCGATTTCGGTATAATTGGAGACAGGTTACCGGATGACGCCTTCGACGTTTCGAACCGATGTCTCTAAATGGACGAAACCATCAGGATTTTTCCTAATTATAGGTCGATTGGAACCTTTGAATAAAAAGATTAAGGAAGGAGCATAATGCTATCCAAGAACGGTAAACTAATAGGATTGCTCATTCTCATAAGACGTACGTTCGCCTCTTTCCCGCGCTTCAGCTGACAGTTGTGACGTCATTGTAGCCCTTGTCAAAGCCTTCGTGGCCTTGTCATGATAGTGTGTATTATTAGTTGCCTATGCTTATAAAAGTAACAGCTGAGAAATGTTGAGTTAATTATTTTGTCAATTTTAAATGTGAAAAAGGTGTCTTTAAAGTTTTTAGAGCTATAGAGTGTATAAATACGTTCATTTTGTGTTGTGGATTGTGACAAAGTGCATACTAAGTGCCCACGATTTTGTTTATTAATTATTTTAAAGCAAAATATGGAAGTACTCTAAAAAGAATGCTTGCAAAAGGTGATTTATACAGTTAATTTTCTATACTGCATATATATAAGGTGTTTAAATAAATAAACTAAATAATGAACGTTTTGCATTCGGTAACCGATAATGCACGTGTGTGTATTATTGGTTGCCGGATAAGGACTAATAACCATGACAAGGGCTACAATGACGTCACAAAGCGAGTAGTTTTCGCATGCACCTGGCGGACACTTTTGGCTGAATGAGCAGTCCTATTAGGTTAACTGTTCTTGAAGGCTATCCGTGTTGCATGGTGGGCGGAAAAAAGACTCTAGGATCAAGGTTATTAAAAGATATGGTTGTCTCGTAACTTTTGGACCAATAGGAGCGAAGCGGAATAGCATCCCTCTGACATAGACAGAACGTATAAAATCATAGAATAAAAGGAATAAAAAATAAAATGCAACCGACAAAGAGAGATAAATGGACAATACAATAAAGAAAACACATCAAACAACTGAAAACTATTGACGCCATACACTATAAACAAAAAAGTACACAATGAATATTGATTCGGAAATGCATTGTCGGACTGTGGGCAGTTTTTATTCCTTTATCTATGAATGGTATCATTCCTATGACGTAGTAGATGACGTTTTCGATAATGGCGGATCGAGTTACGAGACAACCTTCTCTTTTAATAACCTTGCTCTAGGGTGGGGATCCTTGACGGCTTAACGATTCATTTGACACATTTGAATTTTATTTTATGTTACTTATTATTTATTCTACTACTGATAGTTGCATAAAGGTAGGAAATCTAGATGGAAATAATTGTGGCAGAACTTAAATTAACTGTGACACTATTGCGATTTATCGAAAAAGACTCAAAATAGTTGGTTGTGTAGCATGCTGTAGATCTCGGTCAAAAATCGAGTGAAATAATGGAACAACTTTTCGCTAGTAAGTGACTATATAATATACATACGCGTAATAAACCGATCATTTATGAAATTCACTTAAATTAACTAATTATATATGTTTTCTTGCCTTTTTGCTTTTATTTACTACTTGTCAAAGAATTTAGATACGTCAATTTGACTTACCTGCTTCAGTAGCGTATCGGATGTTTGTGTTAATAAATAATTATTATAACTTATCTATTTTTATTAGAATTTTATATTTTTATAACAATTTTAAAAGCTACCAACATTTTATTCACAACGTAAAATAAAAAAAACAAATTATAGAGTCTACCCCACTACCCTACATCATAGTTTTAGATTTTTTAAATAAAATTAGAACGGCACTGATAAACCGGAATTTAAGTCGGCCATATTTGAGTCCCTTCGCGGTGGACCTAAGATTTTTCATATGTTCCTTCCTTAATCTTTTTATTCAAAGATTGGAACCAAACTCGGCCCGTGGATAGAGGTACCCGAATGGAGTCCTCAGGCGGACGGGCTGACATACGGTCGATTTAATACAAATTTTGTGAATCACTGTATCAAATTATTTATTAATTTATTACTTTTTCAACATTTCAAATTACACTTTTTCAAACATGTCCTTCAAATCCTTCAATTTAATAGCTGTTATAGTCTAGAAAATGAATAACTTTGAATTTTGACCGTTATTTCTTACCAACACGGCAAATATAAAATCCCTGTCAAAAAAGTTACTGCTATTCTTTAAATTGAATGCCTGAACGAATCAGATAGGTAACTCTTTTTACTTTCGTGAAATAGAAAAGGAAAATAATAAAACCAGTGACAGTTCTTTCTAAATATTAGACCAATGCCGTCTGTAACAGAACAGCCTCGGAGCGAGATTTATGACGTCGCGGTAGTTAGATACTATAGTAAACGCCACGAATGTTTGGGAGTAGAATCGACACGCTCGCTATCATTTTTACATTAAAAACGTAAATTTTTACCGCAGACGTAGGTTTTTAAAGGCCCGGTCTAATCATCTGCCTGCGCTCCTCCTACTTATTCTAAAATGTTAGCGTGATTAACAAAGACGATACTATATCGCGTTTCTTTGATTTATTCGTTTTTGTGCGTCAGTCCATTGGTGTGCTTGCAGTGCGACCAATGGGGCATTCCAGTTTATATTTATAACCAAATATATGTTTTGACAAGACTTTGACAGTTAAACCAACAAATTACAACAGATTATATATTTATTATTATATGACTTTAAACACCACGGCACTGGAATTAAGTTTTATGTGACCTTGAACAGATTAGTTCACATCTTTGAATAAGAAGACTAAGGAAGGAGCATAATGCTATCCATGTATTCATGCATGGTGGGCGGAAAAAGCACTCTAGGGTGGGGATCCTTGACAGTTCTGTTTGACGATTCATTTGACACATTTGAATTTGATTTGAAATTTTGTGGATTTGTCAGTCTTTACGTAGCTTATTTTATGTTATTTATTATTTATTCTACTACTGATAGTTGTATAAAGGTAGTAAATCTAGATGAAAATTGTGGCAGAACTTAAATTAACAGTGACACTATCGCGATTTATCGAAAAAGACTCTAAAATAGTTGGTTGTGTAGCGTGCGGTAGATCTCGGCAAAAATTGAGTGAAATAATGGAACAACTTTTCGTTAGTAAGTGACTATATAATATACATACTGTAGTAAACCGATCATTTATGAAATTCACTTAAATTAACTAAATTATATATTTTTCTTGCATTTTAGCTTTTATTTATTACTTGTCAAAGAATTTAGATACGTTGATTTGATTTACCTGCTTCAGTAGCGTATCGGATGTTTGTGATAATAAATAGTTATTATAACTTATCTATTTTTATTAGAATTATATATTTTTATAACAATTTTAATAACTACCAACATTTATTCACAACGTAAAATAAAACAACAAATTATTGAGACTACCCCACGTCTACCCTACATCATAGTTTTACATTTTTTAAATAAAATTAGAACGACACTGATAAACCGGAATTTAAGTCGGCCATATTTGAGTCCCTTTTGAGAAGATTTTTGATATGCTCCTTCCTTAGTCATGGTAGCGACCGATGAATCACTCCCAAACATTCGTGGCGTTTACTATACGGTTTAATAAATATGTTGTAGAATACATGGAAAACATAACTATTCCTCGTATTTTTGGTTTGTATTTTAAAATCAAAGTTTGTTTTTCAAATACAAACCAAAAATACGGTGAATAATTATGTTTTCCATGTATTCTACAACATATTTATTAATCCGTAGTAACTAGCGTGATATCATAAATCTCGCTCAGAGGCTGTTCTATTAGAGACGGCATTGCGTCAGCATGGCCGCAAGTTGCTAACCTAATAAAATAAACACTAAAAAAGCCCGCGGGAACTGTCAAATTCAAAGTTATTCATTCGCAGACTATAGTAAGAAATTTCACTTTAAATATGTGCACATAGTGCACACACAATTTTTTTATTTAATGTTTTGTCGACGTGTCGGCAAATATATGTTTTTCTCGGGACTCATTAGGTATTATATTTAAATAAAAAATCTGAGTTTTGTTTTTGATAATAATCAAAGGCCAATTATAACATTACTCGCAAATTAAGTACAAAGTATAATTAGTGGAAAAAATTAAAAGCTTATTAATTGATAATTTTTACCAATTACTACTACTAATTTTGACGTTCTGAATGCTTACATTGAAATTAGAGCAATAACAAACTTCTACGCTAATTCATTCCACCAATTTCGAGGTTCTGAATGAAGCTTAATATTTACCTATCTCTTGATTCATGAATTATTCAGCCCATGCAGACTATTAGCTCAGGTCAATAAACAAGAACCCCGATAAATATTTACGGCAAAAAAATAATGCAGACACGAGACGAACCTCTTTAAATAAACGATGGCGCCCTTCTGCCTTTATCCTCTCTAATTACTTTATTGGTAGGCCCGTAAAAGGGAGTTTTTAGGGAAATTATATAAGTATTTGGGACATTACAGAATTGTCAGTCTCTCTATTAAGTTGGTATAGAAACGGAGCATGAACGAGGGTGTACTTCTGTTTCAGATTAATTATACGGTAGAGAGGATAATCGAAATTCTACAAAACGCAGCGCTAGAAGAAGGAGGTGAAAACTACGTTGTGATTAATCATGTACGGGATATGATTTTAAATATCAAAGAGCGAAAAGGTAAATAAATTTTTTTTTCTTCTAGATTGTAAAGTAGCTTTTTTCTTTAAACTGTATTGTTATTTATTATATTCTCAAAAGAATGTTTTGTGCTTATTTGCTTTGTATAGTTTACGGTATACATTTAGTAGTTGAATTTGGAAAAAAAAATTGTACGTGTTAGCTTTTAATTTTAAAATGTATATTTTTTAGCTAAACAATATTATTGGGACAAAGCAGTCAAATACATTAACGAAAACGAATCAAGAGTGCGTACTGAAGTTCAGACGGTGCACGGTGAATCTTTTGACGTCTGGCGTTGGATTGGATTTTCAAATCTGAGCATGTCTGGGTAAGTCAGTTTATTAGGTTAAACCGTAGTTCTATTTATATTTTACTTTAGTAGAATTTTAGTTGGTATGCATATTGCAAATATCGTCAGCGAAACGTGATAACCTGGTAACTCCATTTTTGATTTTAAGTAAATAATACGTTTAGTACATCATTTTTACGTAAATTTTTAACGAAATATTCAGTTTTATTGTTCTCCAACAAATGTTATTGTTATATCTTTATCATATTAAGCAACGGTCTAGCTACGTTGAAACACCGGTTCCCATTAGAACAGCGAAGTTAAGCGACGTAAGGCGATACTGGTGGATGGACGGATGGACGGGAAAAGTGTAAAATCTATTGATACACACTGCTCATTCATGCCGGTTTGAGGCCGGATGAGATCGGATATCTCGCGAGTAAGAGTTGATTTAGACACTTCCTAAGTCGGTAGGCCTTTGGGTCTTTTATCATATTAACATTAACGCATGAATATATTTGCTACATGTGTACTTATTTTTTTGTACCGTTTCTTTTCTCTCCTCTAAAATTAGGAATAACGGTGTTAGCAGTTTATCACATTTCACCAACGATATGTTATTCTAAGTTATTTCAACAGTAATTAGCATTGGTTTCAACTTTAGAAGTTTCAACTATATATTGGGTCAAGTTCAGGGTAACTTAAAAGACAGAATGTTGTTTTTTTATTCAATAATTATGTAATAATGCTGTTCTGCTAATAAATAAAATAAAAAATTAATTAACAACAAAAATGCAGATGGGTTACTGAAACGACTAAGTAAAATTCGTATCCTAGTCAGGGCCATAAGTAAATACCAAATGGCAGAATAAAAACAATTAGTTAAATATGCATACTTCTGAGAAGCATATATGTATAAAATATGAGATAAAAGATTAGTGAAAAGTTGTTGGATTATGTCTTCAAAGTCCTGACACGATATCATTTCAGATTTATACACTTTGCTTAAAACTTAATGCCAATTATCCCAATTGTATTCGGTAAACTTCGGCAGCCTATTCTGCAGATAAAAATAAGTAAAAAAGTTTGTATAAATGTAAATTTTTGTAAAAATTTTATTTGATGGTAATTTTTCATAAAAATTGTTTTTCTTTCACCTTGCAAAGCACTCTTGGTCATAATTTTTTTTATCATATTTTACACCATATGATCAAAAAAAAAAATGGCGGCCAGTTGGCTGGAAATGACGATCGATGACATATTCCATATAAATTTACAAAATGAGAGCGATCTTCATTTCATAACCATCGCTGACACCATTTTTTTCTCGATCATACGGTATATGCGTCTCAAAAGTATGCATTATTGTAAAAGAACATAAAACCTCTTTGTTGAGTTGGCAGCTTTATCATAATGCACAAAAGGCTTACTTAAAAATGCTAAAAATTACACCAATATTTTCGTGATTATGCTTACATTACAAAATAAATCTATGCTAATTCGGAAAGGTTAGAATAACTTATTTTATATAATTTTAGTGTAATTGTTATGAAAGGTAGTGTGTGCAGAGATTATCAGATTGGAGTTGTGGTTGTTTTAAGTAAGTGTGGTTCTTTAAGATGTGATTTATAAAATTGATTAACTTTTGAATGTTTTACTTTATAAACTTATGTCTATAACAAGAATAAGTAAGAATAGTTTTATATTACGATATATTTCAAATAATAAATGGTGATGTAATATTTTTTTTAGAAGTATGCATTAGATGATTCATATAGATGAAAAACTAAAAATTCTATTAACAAAGAGTCTATTGAGCATCCTCCTGATTCGTTGGTTCAACGACCAGAGGAGGATGCTCTCTCTCTCTTGATTATTCCAAATGCAAAAGGTACGTCAGAAAAGATCAGGCGAATAGCCAAACAGTATAACATTAAAACTGTCTTCAAATCTGAATCGACTATAAGAAGCGTCCTAATAAAAACAAGGCCGGAATCATTGAAACAAGAGAAAGAGTGCATCTTCCAGGTACCTTGTGAATGCGGTGAGTCGTATATTGGAGAGATTAAACGTCTTCTAAATATTACGACTTTAGCGAGCACAAAAAGGTGAAATAATGAAGCCAGGTATTGCGGACCATGTTTGGTCAGAACAGCACATTATAAAGTGGTCGGAAGCTCGGGTTGCCCACGGGGAACCTCATTGGAAAAAGCGTAAATTTAAAGAAGCCGTTTTTATAACAAATAATGACATTTTTAGCAATCATAGTACCGAAATACCTGCGATATGGCAACCATTGATAAAACGCTCCAATGCAGGCATTCTAAGCGGACAATCTCACGGTTGACTGCACCAAATTTTTCAGGGGTAAATGCCTGGCTACAAGGAGTAGCTGATCACCTAATAAGTCTAATAAAAAACCTATACGAGTTAAACGAAGCTATGGTAAGGATTGATAACCATACATCGCAGTCATTTAATGTACGCAAGACGCAAGGGTGTGCGACAAGGATGTATACTATCGTACCTCGGCTTTTTAACGCATACGGCGAATACATAATAAGACGAACTTTAAACCACTCTGAGGGAGGAGTGTCAATTGGTGGTAAAAGACTAACAAATTGAAGATACGTAGATGATACCACGTTACTGGCGAGATAAGAGGCAGAAATGGAGGTTAGATAGAGTGACGAGAGAAAATGCTAAGATAGGCCTGGAAATAAATCTCAGGAACACTAAACTTATAACCCATAAATGTCAGAGACTGTCATGAAATACATCTACTGCAGTGGAAATTCGATTAAGATTCTGACACATTCTGTAAATCGGATTCTACAGGCAATATCTTAGATCTAAACTGTAGCGCCCAAACGAGGTACAAGAAATGGCAGTCGCTCGAGCAGAGATGGAGAATCAATTTTAAAATTTGCCAGCTTGTACAAGGTGAGTCAACGATAGAGTAAAATCCATTATCTCATAGTAATGTGTCATCATTGTGTACGTAGAGTATGGTCAACACGTTTAGTAAAATAAGATGTACTGAATAAAGACAGAAGGCGAGTATTTCCCCAAGCGCATGGAATCTAGCGTCAGATTAAGTAGTTATGTAATAAATACTTCGTATTTTTGCTCACTCCGACTTACTAGATTGTCATAACAACTCACTCCTATACGTGTAAACGCCGACCTAAAGGTTTGCTTGCCAGCGGGGTATATAAAAAAGTCATAGAATTTTACGCAGAATCTAAAAATGAAATAAAAAATTGGGTGTTGCATTTAAAAAAAACATGTTATATCCGCTACACTTTTTTGAAGCACCCTGTATACTCTATAATAATTTTAAAATATGTATCTTAACCTTCCCTATAATTTGTATATTTAACTTTTTTTTGTAAACCTCAAAACTAATGAGATAATGGTTGTCTCTCTATCGTTGACTCACCCTGTACAGAAAAGACATCGACTGTAAGTCACGACGTGTACTTAACGGCAATTCACCAATTCTGTCCAAAATATGCGCATGATCTATACCTCGTTGAGAATAGATTCCGTCTTTTTTAAACATGGCGTATTTTAGAAATCGCCGTTGAACAGACTCAACAGATTGCACATGACAATTATAAATAGGGGACCAGATAATTGAGCCATAATCAAGCTTCGACCTCACATAAGAAGACAAATACAGTATTTTGATGGTTGATAAATGGGAAAAATGCTTACTGTTACGTAATACGAAGCCGAGGTTCTAGAGGCGTGAACCACCATTTGATCCATGTGAGGAATAAAGGAGAATCTTTCGTCGAAAATCACTCCTAGATCCTTTACCCAAATAGCATTTTCACGACTTGCGACCACATGTTTACTAAACACAACGTTGGATTAGTTACAAAAAATAGTTAGCTCCGTACCTTGGGTATTAAAATAAATGTAAACGTTGTTGTAACGTTGTTCCGACGTTGAACTATAACTGGGCTTTTAGTTCGAGAGTAAGAAACAACATTACATTTAGAGATGTTAAGATTCAATCTGTTGGTCAAACACCACTTACTAAGCAAGTCAATGCTTTCCTGGAGAGACACACAATCTCTGACAGTATCTATACAGTTAAATAATTTAAGATCATCAGCATATGCAAGTCTATGACAGTAGGGCATTGAAACAAGGTCATTAATAAATATATTGAAAAGAGTAACCAAGGAAGATGCGAAAAGTAAATAAAAAGGCGAACGGCCATGGCCCGAGGAGCCATGAGTAACTTCACAAGAATATGGAAAAATCGTCACATTTCATGAAATACGTAGATCATGTTAGTAAAATCCCTCATATTCTCACCCTTCTTGTACGGAGCGGAATCCTGGACGATGAAAACATCAGACATACGATGAATATATGCATTTGAAATGTGGTGCCGTCGACGTATGTTAGGAATATCATGGACAGAGAGACGCACAAATGCATATACAGAGAGCTACAACGAAAGAGGCCCAGTCAGTGTAGTTACTTTTCCGTTTTAATTAAAATTATTATAAATTATTCTATAGCATATTATTCGACGTTAGTAATTAAATGAGTTAATAGTAATCAGCAAATTTTATTAATCAGTATAAAACTAACTGGATGCAATGTAAAACCACATCTACTTAAAATATGTTATGTTAGATTTTTGATAGTATTTGGTGATATTAACATTTCTTATATAAAATCTTTAATATGTAATATTAATTTATAATATAAAATCTTTAATATGTAATATATACGTGAGAACTCCAGCTTTTTATATTCAAAGACTTATTGCGAAAAAGTATTCTTTGTGACACACTGCCTCTATAAAACACACAGTAACTTGTCATTCTCTTTTTAGTGACACAACTGACTACAAATACCGCCCAGGCCGTCGCATTGTCGACGTACAGTATTTAGTTGATCACATACTTCAATTTCCTCACAGAGCTTTATATTTCTGTTCGTCAAATAACGTAGAAATCAAAAACGAAATTAGGGAGGGATTTTTATCAGTATATTTGCTAAGATGCAAGAGATGCCAAAAAGAGTATGCAGTATGTAGCGAAGAACCTAAAACGGAACTGTTAGATGTCAATTTAGCATTTGTAGCTGGGATCGTGAGTCTCGGTTTAGATTTGTATCAGTTAAATGAACTGTGTAGTGCAATACATATTCCCGCTATACCCGGTAAAGATTATAAAGCTTACTTAAATGAAATACGTAAAATTTATAACCAGGACAAATCAGATACCAAAGATGAGAGTTTCAATACCGCAGAGTTATTGAGTTCTACACCAAAATCAGATAAACTTGGTCAAGAAAATATATTAGATGATTCGAAAATTAGAATTAATAAATTGTTAGGTGTGGTAGATGATTCGATTGTACCTTTAGATTTCGATGAAAGAAAAAAGTCTTTTTTGTCTGAATTGCAGAAAGATATAGATATAATTGAAATTCTCACTCAAAGTCAAAAAGATAACGAACAGTGGTTTATTGAAAGGAGAAAAAGACTTACCGCTTCAAATTTTGGACGAATATATAAGTTACTAGATAAAACTGACAGAAGAAATGTCGTGAAAGACTTGCTTTATACAACATTTACAGGAAGCGCTGCTACTCGGTACGGCCAAGAAAATGAAGATAACGCTATTAATTCCTTTCAAAGTTGCACTGGAAAAAATGTTACAAAGTCTGGCTTGGTTATACACAAAATTTACCCATTTCTGGCAGCTTCTCCCGATGGCGTTATTCTTGCAGAAAATGCTTTAATCGAAATTAAATGTCCATACAAAGCACGTAACTCTAATTTGCAGGAAGCGTTTCATAAGAAAGAAATTACATTTGCCACTTTTACTGATGGTAAACTAAAGCTGAAAAGAGATGACAAGTACTATTATCAAGTGCAAGGTCAGTTGCAAGTGACAGGCAAACAATTCTGTTACTTTATTGTATGGACCCCAAAAGACATGGCCTTTGAGAGGATTGAAAAGGATGATAATTGTTGGGAACTGATGTTTCCGAAATTGGAATCATTCTACTTTGAGCATCTACTGCCAGAAATTTTAAAGAAAACTGTCTAATTAGAAAGATTTTATTATGATGTAGTTTTATTAGGTCTTTATTAAAAGATTTTATAATCTGTTGATATTTAAATTTATAGTATTTATATATTATAAAGCATAAAAATACTTATAAACTATATGTTATGCACTTTATATTTAAATCTTGAGTCAATTGTGTTTACTTGTACGTGCTTTAAACTACTAATGAATTAAATATGCGTAGGCTAGTGTCACATTTATCATTGAATAATGATTCTATTTAACCTTTTATATAATATAAAATATTTATTTCTATATAATAAAATAATATGTAACATTATTGTAAAATAAAATTTCATGTAGACTATATATACAGATCTTTTTAGATTTCCCCGCTTTAACATTTGATGTAGTGAACTATTATTATACTGCAGTATATTTATTTCAATTTTTTAATATGCCTTTCTAATATATATTTTAGTTGCTTATATATTTAACAAAAAAAAACACAAATTTATCGCAAAAATACTTTTATTTTAATTCTCATTACATTCTTATCGAACGTTTTTAGAGATGATAAAAAATGCGATTCTCTCTAATCGCAATTGAAACGGCGATTGCAATTTTTAAATCGCGGCGACTGTAACCTGCGATTGCGATTTTAATATTTACCAATCCAAATTATTCGTAAAAAATGCGTTTTCTAAGTATGCCAATCAGCCCTCCTCGTTCCATTTGAAAAAATTGAGATATGATTAAAAATACGATGGACATCTTTTAATTGGCCGGGACAAGACGCGAAAAACAATAGACGATCAAATCTATTTTCAAAGGCATTTTGATTAAAATTAGTGTTTTTAAAACAGCCATGACTTTCCAGATTGAAATTTAAAATACTATTCTCTTTTAAGCGGAAATGTCAAATTTTGTCATATGATATGCCATTCAATTCAGAGTGTCATTTTCTATCGAATAAAGTAAAAAAATACCGAGGGTGTCATTTAAAAATAAAAAGTTTCGGTCATTTCAGAAAGTGACTGAAAACAATTGAATACGTCAATCCTAATTTATGTCATATATTAACATACCAAATCTCGTTTTTTAATCAGAAAAAATAAAAAAGTTAAAGGTGTAAACCACTCTTGAGAAACACCCGGTATATTATGATCGTCGCCCTAGAAAAATAATACCTTCTCTATAAATAAATAATATCAGAGGGAAAATTCAATCGCAGTTTGTTATAAAATGATTCAATAGACCACAAAATTATATTGGCAACAATATCGCAAATCGCAACTCCTAAATATTTAAACTCGCAGATAGAAATCACGGTCCCAGTTTACAAAATCACAATGCAGCAAAATCGCAAATCGCAGCTATCTATAGTAATACCACAGTTTAAAGAATATAAATATATCTATTTATATTCTTTAAACTGTGGTAATACTGGTTACCTAAATTGAAACTCGTATATAGAAGAAATCGCATCGAAAATTTAGTCTAAAATGTTTACCCGTGTATCGAAATCATTTTGGTATAGATTATGGCATTATAAGAATATGTATAGGCCTTAGCATATTCTACAGATAAAATTAAGTAAAAAAAGTCGTACTAATTTATGTACTAAAATGCCTCCTTTTAGAGATACAGGGTGGCACAAGTTTCATTTTATTTCGATTTTGTTTAAATAATTTCAGCTCTGACACAGTCAATATTTGGATGAAAATTGGTATCTGAGAGTTTTTTGACATTTGATCTCGATGTCAATATGATTCCTACTTGTAAGGGGCGCTACTTACATATTTTTAACTGGTTTGAACAGTAATAACTTTTAGTCCGTACCTGTATAAAACTACTGAGTGAAAAAATAAAAAAAATCGTTTTTTACGTAAAAAGGTCTTTTGATAAAAACCGCTATGAGTAATGGTTTTCGAGATATTTTGAATTGAAATATGTACGTGTTATCATTAACAAAAATTGAGCACGTTGACAAGATAGCTATTAGACTGAAATCATAAATTTGAAATATTTTTGTGTAAAAGGTTCAACAGAAACTGTTTCACATAATTTCATCTAGAAAAAATATGATTAATTTGAAAAAATAAAAAGTTCCCAAATTTATCATTTCAGTCAAACAACTGTCTAAACATATTTATTTTCTGACAATGATGACATGTCTTGATAATTTAAAAATAAAAAGTTCCCAAATTTATCATTTCAGTCAAACAACTGTCTAAACATATTTATTTTCTGACAATGATGACATGTCTTGATAATTTACATTCTAAATATCTTGAGAACGGTTACTCGCAGCGATTTTTATCAAGACGCTTTTTTTACGTAAAAAATCACGGAAATGTATATTTTTTCACTCAGTAGTTTTATACAGGTACTGATGAAAAGTTATTACACTTCAAACCAGTTAAAATACATGTAGGTGGCGCCGCCGCGCCGCCGCCCACAAATAGGAGTCATATTGACATCAAAATCAAATTTCTTCATCCTAATATCAACATTAGTTCAGAAATTATTTTGAGAAAATCGAAATAAAAATGAAACTCCTACACCTTGTATCTCCAAAATGAATCATTTTAGCACATAAATTTATACGAACTTTTTACTTATTTTTATCTGGCTAAATATGCTGCCGAAGTTTCCCGAATACAATTCGGACCACCCTGTATAGTAAATAGCACTATACTAATATGCAGAAGGCTAATATTAAGGACTAAAAAAAGATTTACATATGTATAATTGCATCAAATAATTAAATTAATGATGACAACACCGAGTCTCGAAAACTGCAAATTTGATGGCTAATTTTAAAAAGTGGTGCAATTTTTTAGTTCCCCTCGAAAAAGCGCGTGGCAAGGTCAAGCCTTCGACACACATCCAGGATCCGCTAATTCTCCAGCATACCCGCCAACGCCATGTTTAAAAGTTCGAGGAATGGTCGGGGAGGGCGCTGGCCTCAATGCAACGGCAGCTCGAGAGGCAGTCCTGTCCAAAGTAGCGCACCGTTGTCGAATTTTACATTGCCAAGCAGAAGTTAGTAGCAAGTGTGTGTATCTTAGATGTGCGGACGCACAAGATGCTGCAATTGCCTACAAAAATCTTCACGGATGGTGGTAAGTTTTTGCATAATATTATTTAAAAAAAACGAATGTTTGATATTTTTATTATTGTTTATCAGTTTTGGTTTTTATTTACAGTGGACTCTTGATTATCCGAGCTAATATGGGCTAATCCGTATTTTTTAAAGTTTGTTTTCTATATATTTTTTAATATACAGGGTGGTCCTAACTGTATTCCGGAAACTTCAGCAGCACATCCTGCAGATAAAAATAAGTAAAAAAGTTTGTATAAATGTATGTCCTAAAATGCTTAGTTTTGGAGATACAGGGTGTAGAAGTTTCAATTTTATTTCGAAATAATTTCTGAAGTAACGTCAATATTTGGTTGAAATTTGGTGTATAGGAGTTTATTGACATAAGAAATGGCGCCACCGACATGTGTTTTAACTGTTTTGAAGAGTAATAACTTTTCTCGCCCGTACCTGTATAAAACCACTGAGTAAAAAATATACATTTACGACGTTTTTTACGTGAAAAAGGTCTCTTAGTAAAAATCGCTACGAGTAATGGTTTCCGAGATATTTGGAATCGAAATTATCAATACCTGTCATCATTGACATAAATTAAACATGTTGACTAAGTAGTTATTAGACTGAAATCATAAATTTTATATGTTTTTGTGCCAAAAGTTCAACAGAAACTGTTTTATCATCATTTTTTGCAGAAAGATTTATGATTAATTTAAAAAAATAAAAATTTCCCAAATCTATTATACAGTGAAATAACTATCTACTCAACGTGTTTATTTTTCGTCAATAATGACATGTATTGACTATTTCCATTCTAAATATCTTAAGAACGGTTGCTCGTAGCGATTTTTACAAAGAGATATTTTTTACATAAAAAGTCACAGAGATGTACATTTTTTCCCTCGGTAGTTTTATACAGGTACGGACAAAAAGTTATTACGCTTCAAAACAGTTAAAACACATGTAGGTGGCGCCCTCTACTAGTAGTAGTCATATTGACATCAAAATCAAATTTCTCATGTCCAAAAACTCCCAGACACCAATTTTCATCCAAATATTGACGTTACTTCAGAAATTATTTAGAAAAAATCGAAATAAAAATGAAACTTCTACACCCTGTATCTCTAAAACTAACCATTTTAGGACATACATTTATAGGAACTTTTTTACTTATTTTTATCTGCCGAATATGCTGCCGAAGTTTCCGGAATACAGTTCGGACCACCCTGTATAATATGTATTATTTAAAACACCCTCTACACTATGTCCGAAACATCTCGAAGTATGTCAAAGTCGAATAGCAAAGACGGCGTCAAGCAGATTCTGTGCTTTCTCGTTTTTTTTTGTCTCGTCTCGGCTTATTTTCATTTTCTAAAAACGTCTCGAAACTACTCGTGAAATTGCGGAGAAGGGCGTGAGTGAATTTTGGCAACTTTCGATTGTCTTCTGTTCAATTTCGTTTTATCTCGAGCTACTTAGACAAGGACTTTTTTTCATAAATATCATTGAAACAAGTAAACCTAGACATTTCTAAAATATCTGTTGTTACGATGATATTTATTAAATTACATCTCGTTTTCTGTTGATATATTCCACAAGATTAATATTTGAACACGCGTTTATAATATATAATATAGTAGTCATAGTAGATATTTAAGAACAAATAAAATAATATTTTTATGATTTAATTTGATTATAATGACTGAGTATATAAAATAATTGTATATATTATGATTGTTTACGGCCTTAATTGTATTAATATAACAGTGACATTGCTTATATCGAATTGCAATATATCAAGTTGATAGCGAAAATGATTGATTGACCCGAAGTCAACAAAAGTATTGTTCACAGACATTTTTAAAAGCAAGTTCCTCTTATTGTTTTCAAGAGAAAACTGTAAACGATAATTTCGTTAGCACCCAGCATGGTTTGATATAAATCCATTCAAAAATAAGAAATAATTAGACGATTTTTTTTAAATAGTTCGTGGATTATAAGCCGATATAAGGCGGACGCCAGAACAGTCAGTCACATTCCTTTGCAGTTTTTCGATTTAAAGTTTTGGAAATATATTTTTTTACTCTAATATAATTAATAATACTAGACAATAAATAGCCAATTTAATCTACCATCGGTAACAGTTTTTTAAATGAACTTTTTTT